ACAGTGAGTATAATAGGCATGCTTTACTGCATATACAGACTGATTTTACTGTTGTGGGTTTAGTAACACTATTATATCGAAATTGGTTTTAATTGTTTTATCAGTAATTTTTTATTGTTTTTTATTTGATTTTTATTGGTATAATTTCTACAGTGTTTTTACTGTTATATATGTGGTTTAAGACACATATAGCTAGATAAGAGATTAATTAGGTATAAGATTAGATGGTTAAGATTAGGTAAGTAATTAATATACAGGATAATATATATGGGTAGGTATATGGAGTAGAAAGATACAAAAGATTAAATAGGAGGAATGAGAAAGGGTTAATAAGATCGGGTGAATAACATGTAAATGGTAAAATTGTATGCAATTGACTAAGAAAGCAAAGGAACATGTGTATATTATTATGGAGGATTGGTAGAGAAGGGGTTCATGAATTAGGTGGATAATATGATTCTGAATAGGAACAATTGACAGAAATTAGGCCAAAGAGGATGGGTAATGGACCATATGGATAATATGCAACAGGAGAAATTGACAGAGGAAGGGTGGTAGTGGTCTTAGTAAGCACTGAGATATTGAGAGTGGGGTTGACAGATCGGTAATGCTCTCTGTGAATACTAGACTGCTGAATAGCAGAAAATAACAGAGAATGAGAACCAGCAAATGGGTTAATGAACCAGATGGATAATAAGCAGCTGAACAGGAAACACTGACAGAGGATGGGCGACAGTGGAGAGGAGGAAGATCAGAGGTAGGCGGTGTCAGAAACCACTTAGCAATATATATATTGTGAGTGGGGTTGACAGATCGGTAACGCTACCTGATGAGGCCGGTAAGGTGATACGTGACGTCATCCCGCAGGCAGAATTGGGCTCACACCAGGGTGAGCAGTGGAGCCCAAACTAACTGTGAATGAGCAATTCATCTTAGTGCTGGGAGACAGCATGAGGCACTGTGAGTTTTATTGCTTTTATGAATGTTTTTAAATATTAAACAGCGTTACAACGCTATGAAAGTTTTATTGGATTTTATGCCTATGCCGGCACCCATGTCAGAATAAAAGAAGGAGAGTTATGGTGATTGCAGACTGGTCTGGTTGATTAACGAAGAATAATAGTGGTGGAACTCCTGGGAGCGTGGTGTAGACTCTGGAGAGCTAGAGGATTGAGGCATTGCTGTTGAATAAGCGAGGTGGAGGAGTGTCAGGAGTCAGCACAAGAGAAGACCAGATAAATGTAACTACACACAGAAACTGGGACCAGACCATGTGTATATATCTGTAGCCTCCCTAGCGGTCTGATTATGTCAGTATTTCTGTTGTCAAAGCAGTACATTTTTTTGCATGGAAAAATGTGGGGTTTTTTTTAGGCCTGTAATTTTTAGGAATAACTCACTGAAATCTGTCCGAACAAGAGTCTAGTAAACATCCCGGGTATGATCAAATTTGAAACACAAAATCGTAAATTATAATTTAATAAATAATCATAAAAAATAATAATATAATAATAATAATAAATGTAATTCAATAATGTAATCAAACCAAAAACACTGAAATTTGAAATATAGCGCCAAGTTCGCCCATCACTGAGAAAAGTCGCAGAATCGTTTTCAGTGTCTGATGACGAATTTCCCCATGAATCATTATCACTCAATTCTGCAAGTGGTTCTAATTTACTATCGCTGTTCTCTAGCTGGTCTAAAACTGCTTTTGACCTAAAGGGACGCTTTTTGGATGCCATGGATGTTTCTCAATTTCCAGGCAGAAATGCAGGCAGGGCACAGGACAAAGCACTCGGGACAAAATGAATGTGAAATGGTTTGATACAGTAATGTTTTTACTATGTCATTTTAGTGTATTTAGTGAATGTCACTTTTTGACATTTTCAAATTTCCCGCCAGTTCCGTCCCTGTACGTCCCGACGTCGCAGGGAACGGAACCCCGAAGGCAAATGCCGGCATCGGCCGGAGGAGATGGCAGGGGACGCTGCAGGGGGGACATTGCGGGGAGTGAAGGACAAGGTAAGTGCAGAAGGGATCCTGGAGCAATACTGCAGGGTATTCCTAAGTGTAGCTCGGGGTTACCGCTTGTGGTACTGAAACTTTACCCCGAGCTACACTCGGGAATGCCTCCAGGGAGGTTAAAGTGAGATTTATTTACAGTGAACAATAAACACACACCAAGAGCAGCAAACATAAAAACACATGAAAATCAAACTGAACAACCAAAATGCAGAAACCTAAACTACTAACTAAAATATACAAATATGTACAAGTATGAAATATGCAAGGCAGGGGGAATTCTGGGGAAGCAGATGGGAAGGGGGAAACAAAACTGAGAAGGAGCAAGGCAGCAAGGTAACAGGGAACTGGATAGAGGGCAGGAGCAAGAGCAAAAACACCAATTAATGGCAACAGAGTCTCACAGCACAGCATACAGAAAACAAAACAGGAGCAACCAAAACACTGACACAAGGAGCCATAGCAAAAGTGGAATTTAAGTACCCGCTGGTGGACAATAAAACTGCAGCTCTCTGCCCAGAGATCCAAAGCACCACCAGCAGGTGAACAAGGTCATGACAAGGGGTGCTGGAACCCTCCCATGATCCTAAGCATGTTTTGACCTTAAACAGCTATATGTCTGGTGTGTGGTTTGTGAAGGTAGAGGTTGCACATGGTAACTGAGTGCCGGTTTACATATACTCAGATTGGATGTGGTTTGAGCTGCATGCAATCCACATGACATGTGAAATAACATTGCTTCCTATGGTGCCTGTTCACATATGATTGGTGCACTGGCGGTACAGATTCAGTGCGGTTTGAAAAAGAGTCCTGTCCGATTTCTGAGCAGTGCTGTCAGCTACAGTTGCGGATTACAGGCTATTGACGTCTATAGGAACTGTTTCTAAACAGCACATGTGTGAACAGGATAAAATCCTGCCCTAATCCTGTCCTGAACCTGATGTAAACCTGACATGAACCGCTGACCAACTACTGTGTCAATTAGCTGTGAAACCTGAGCTTCAATCTGCACCGCACATGTGTGAATCAGCTCTGAAGGCTTAAAGTGGAAAGTACAACAATGGTTGTAAAGCACATTGGGCAATAAGGCACTGTTTTGCATAAGGCACTTTGTGTGGGACATCTACACATTTTCGGATTTTACTGGTTTGATGCCTGATATATAATCATGTGGTTTTATGTATACAGTGGGGAAATAATTATTTGATCCCCTGCAGATTTTGTAATTTTTCCCACTTAAAAAGAAATTAAGGGTCTATAACTTTTTATCATAGTTGTATTTTAAATGATAGAGACAGAATATCAACCTAACAAAACTGAAAAAAAAAAAACACATGGATACAAATGTTATAAATTGAGTTGCAGTTCAGTGAGTAAAATAGTATTTGATCCCCTACCAACCAACAATAATTCTGACTCCCACGGTCTGGCTATGTGCTGATATGGTACACAGATTAGTCCTGTCAGTTTAAGAAGGTGGTCCTAAGGACAACTCATTATGTGTATAAAAGACACCTGTCCACAGAATCTCTTTCTTCCATTCAAACCTCACCCTCCTGGGCAAGCCCAAACAGCTGTCAAATGACATCAGGGACAAGATTGTAGACTTGCACAAGGCTGGAATGGCCTACAAGACCATCAGCAAGAAGCTTGGTGAGAAGTAGACAACCGTTGGTACGATTATTCGCAAATGGAAGAAATACAAAATAACCATCAATCGCCTTGGTATGTAGCTCCATGCAAGATTTCGATTCATGGGGTAAGGATGATCATGAGAAGAGTGAGGGATCAGCCCAGAACTACATGGGAGGAGCTTGTGAATTATCTCAAGGCAATTGGGACCACAGTCACCAAACAAAGCATTGGTAACACAATACACCGCCATGGATTGAAATCCTGCAGCACCTGCAAAGTCCCCCTCCTCAAGAAGGCACATGTGAAGGCCCATCTGAAGTTTGCCAATGAACATCTAAACAATTCAGAGAAGGATTGGGAGAAAGTGCTATGGCCAGATGAGATGAAAATTGAGCTCTTTGGCATTAACTCGACTTGTGTTTGGAGGAACAAAAATGCTGACTATGATCCTAATAACACCATCCCTACACTCAAGCATGGGGCTGTTTCTCTGCTAAAGGTACAGGCCAACTTTGCAGCATTGAATGGCTAATGGACAGGGCCATGTATTGTAAAATCTTGGATGAGAACCTTCTTTCCTCAGCCAGAACACAGAAGATGGGTCGTGGATGGGTCTTCCAGCATGACAATGACCCATAACATACTGCCCAGGCAACAAAGGAGTGGCTCAAGAAGAAGCACATTAAGGTCATGGAGTGGCCTAGCCAGTCCCCAGACCTTAATTCTATAGAAAATTTATAGAGGGAGCTGAAACTTCGAGTTACCAAGTGACAGCCAAGTAACCTTAAGGGCTTAGGAAGATCTGTAAAGAAGAGTGGACCAAAATCCCTCCTGAGATGTGTGCATACCTGGTAACCAACTACAAGAAATGTCTTACCTCTGTGCTTGCCAAGAAGGGTTTCTTCACCAAGTACTAAGTCATGATTTGCTTGGGGATCAAATACTTATTTTACTCACTGAACTGCAACTTATCTTATAACATTCGTATCATGTGTTTTTTTGAATTTTTGGTTGATATTCTGTCTTTAAAATACATCTATGATAAAAATTATAGATCATTTCTTTGTAAGTAGGTGAACCTACACTGTAAACTGAGGGCATTTTTGTATATAGTATTGAGCACACTTTATATATAATTGTTTATTCATTTTATATTTAGGGGCTTTTCTCCTCACGTTGCTGGAATTGTTTGTACTTTGGCTAGGTGCTGTATTTTTATAACTTAGATTTTAATCTTAGGCCCAGTTTAATACAGTTTTAGTTTAGATGAAGTTCTACTTTTTTTCTACTTTTGTAGTTCTAGTCATAAAACAATTGTGATTACAATAGATACAACATATTTACTTACTATCCACAGCAGCAATGTACATGTCCACCTCAACCTTGATAAATTCTTTTAAAATCTGTAAAAATGGCATAATTTGCACAGAAATTAATTATAATGATATACATATATGACTAAATTTACCATCTGTGAATTATATTTTTATGAGTAAGGTTTTGAATAGAGAACATCAGTAAACCACATTCCATTATCCAGGCCATTTAGAAATTGATCTATCTTACCATATTCCTTACCTGCAGATGGTAGATCAAGTAGATATGATACTGCCAAAGCAAGTGTTCCATATAAATTAGTAGATATCTTTTCTGCACTATTTCTGAAATGTTTTCATCAGTCATAGCAAATATTTTATATCTAAGATTTTAACAGTAAAATTCTGTAGCTCTTTGTACTCTATGTGGCAAATTTTCAAGAGGTAGAATAAGAAATGTACCCACTTCCTATTCATATATATTTTGCTGCCTTCAATTTGAAATAAGTTTTACATTTACCCATTTGAAATTAATCTTAATGTTATTTATCAACAAGAGATTATGTGTATTTGCCTGATGTAATGCTGCCACTCTTGAGTCTTTTTCTAAAGCAAACCTAGCTGTTTATATATTTATAATACAGTAAAATATGTTGATAATTAAATACATTGAAAATACCCATGTCTTCACTTCTTAGTAGAACAATTGATTTAAAAAAATAACTGAAAACTGTGCAATCATACATAAAGGAAGCAGATGGGAAGGGGTTAACAATTAAAACAATATAAAAATATGTTTTTAAACATTGGAGAGTAACAGGAAAAATGTAGCCAGCTGCTTATGCTATGGTATTCAGTTGATGAAGAGCAGGGCCGAAACAAGGGATCGGCAAGAAGAATGGCTGCTCTGGGTGCATTGTATTACTGTAGGGATGGAGGTGACTTCTTTATGTTAAAAGGCTAGGCAATTTGGTATCTGGTCAGTTTGGGCACTGGATGGCCTTGTCCCAGCACTGATGAAGAGGCCTATGTTAAGCTGGTAATCATGTTCAAAGGAGACAGGAAACAGAACATGCAACATTTTTTAAATTAAAAAATGCTAGCATGTGCTTGAATTTTGATATTTAATAAATTATTACAAAAACTTTGATCAATATCTAGCAAACATTCTTGTTGCTGGTGCAATTTTTTTGGCAAACTCTAGAAAATATTACCCTTATATTTAATTTTATCTAAATTTGATGTGATTGTAAAGGGATAATGTATTTTCAAGATCAATTTAATCCCTATATAAATATAAATAAAACATCTACTATATTAATGGAATACTGTATATACTGGCCTGTCACTATGGAGGTGCAACCACCATCATCACAGCATTCTTTTAAATACAGTAGAGTTAATTTACTAAGTAAAGATGTTCACTTTGCAAAGTAAGTGTTCACTGAACTTAGCAAAACAATGATGTGATGTTCACTTTAGATACTTAATCATTTGCAGGGGAAATTAAAAAAAACAGAATTTCTTTTTGCACATTGCTGGATGATTGCGGAGAAAACAGTGTCACTTTATTTACTAAGCATGCACGTTTACTGTGCAAAGTGAACAGTTTCTACCCTGTTAGTAACATAAAGGCTGTTCACTTTGAAAAGAGTATGTTAACTTTGCAAAGCAAAGATTAATCTACACGTTCTTTGAATACTGAGCCATATTCTAGAGAAAGTAAAAAATAGATTGTTTTTAGTACATAAATGGTTACTGGAAATGAACAAACCTACATTTTTTATAATTAGAGAACATTCCTTTTATTAAATTAATATTTTCTGTTAATAAATCAACACCCATGATCTGATCAACTTTTATTTGTACTTTCTGTACTTACTTTTATGGCTCTTGAATGACTACGCTGTCTATATTTGGTCTTTAGGAGCTATTTATTTTAATGATTGCCCTTTTGATTTTATATTACGTAGAATATTTTTAGAAGGTTCAGTTTACAGGTAAGTTGCCTTAATTTGGTGGGCAGGGAAGAATTGTGCCCATTTTTTACTATACACCATTTCATTAAAAAAGCTAGGTTTAGTAAACTTTAAATGCAAAAGTGCAATTTTTGCCAATATGTACTATATTCTGCCAATGTGTACTATATAACAAAACACTTCTTATACACTTACCCCTTTCAATGCTTTCATTCCAGACATATCGATGAAAGATACTGCTCCAAAATCAAGTATCAAACTGTGAATATCAATTCTGGGAACCATGATGTTATTTGGTAGATCAGAATTCCAGTCAATGACAATAGGCAGATCTTCTGTGTTTATTGGTTTGTCCAGCTCTTCAATCCTGTTATTGTCAAGTTCATCTTCATCTTCATCTAACTCTTTATAATCATATGATGTGCAGACCACACCTCTCTGTAGAACATTTTATAGAAAATATTATTTCTATTCTGAAAATATTTTTGTTCACTTTTAGTGCACAACACCTTCAGAACCCTACTGTACAAAGGTTAAACCTCTCTAAAACAGTCTAGAACACAGGTTCTCGACTAGAGCAACATGCACCACTGTGGTAACTTCTGATGAGTTCAACATCTGCTTCTTATAGTCACTTCTTCATAAATGCTTTAGAAAATTACAAATCATTATGAAATAAATATCAGTGTGTATTTTAGCTGTTTAGAAACATAATGGATCTTTTTGAAAGCTGACGTTCTGACTTGTTCCTCCTGCTGTCCTCCATGTTATTACAGGAGATGGCATTGACAGAAGGAACCAGTGATGGCTGTGGGGGCCCAGCTGATTGACCTTCCCAGAATTGTAGGTTTCCCAGCAGACTTGGGGATAATTTATCACAAACGTGAGTTCAGCGGGGTGGATAGCCTAAAAGGTAGGTATTATAGGTACACAGGGCATAGGGGTAGGTACTCCCCACTTCTGAGTCACCCTTTGTCTCTGCCCCCTATCCACCACCGAGCACTGTCCCTTGGTTCAACCCCCTACCCACTTCCCAGTACCACCCCTTTTAGAGAAAACAGAGCCAAGTACGATTTTGTGGTGCTAAGTAATTTGATTGTAATTTGCAAGTGATAACATGAAAACATACAGTTCCCACCCCAATTTGAAATATCAAATTAAAAATTGCTGTCTTATCAATGTATACAGAAATACCAGAATACAGGGATCAGGTTCATATTAAATATGGGTTCAAGGTGAACCAAAGCCATTCAGAGTGTGTGGTCTCAGCAAACAAATGCAGCAAATTCGCCCTTCCACCATCAACTGTAATGATAATGAACTTCAGAGACCTTTGGTCAGCTGCCTTTAGAATTACCAATAATATGGTATTTACTATGTGCCAATCCCTTCACTATAAAGGGGGGGCACAGAACATAGTGTCAGTGTATTGGGAGAAGCTGCAGGGAAAGGATAGGGAAAGTTGCAGAGAAAGAAATTCAGGGTCAGCTAGGAAACTGTACTCTGAATAATAGCTCATTGGTCAATCAAACCATTGACCCATTTGCTGTGGGTTTTTTTTATTATTATTTTTATTATTATTATTGTGTTTTTTTTTACTTTATAATTTAGTTGATTTGAGATCATTTGAAAGAAAATTAAAACTAAGTGGAAAACAGTATGAGCCTAAACCACTGCACATTATATCACTTATATTAAATGCACCCTCTATCCCCATAGATAAAATAAGTTAGGCAGGCAACAATTTGGCCTATTATGCCTCATGAAAACTTTCCTGCTCCTGGCCACATTTCTCTATCCTGTGCATCATTATAAAACCCTATTCGTGTTTCTTATCTCTAGTATATTTGGACCTAAAAATGCTATTTGAAATTGTCCCGCTGCTGGCCTACTTTCTCCTTCTGTATCCTCAGCAGTATTTTCATTTTTGTAATAACCCCCACATGTGTTCTTTGTCTCTGGTAAATTTTTACCTAAAGTTTTAATTTAAATAATCCTGCTGGCCTATTTTTTACTGCTGCATCTTCTGAGGTCTCTCAATTTTTAGGCCCAGTTCGCACTAGTGCATTTGAGCGAGCACAGCATCCCATTCATTTGAATGGGCTGTTGTGCCCACGTTTCACGCAAGGAAAAGGTGCATGCACCTTTTCCAAAATGCATCCACAGGGAAACCACATGGTCTTTTTGACCATGTGCTTTCTGTGCGATGATCGTGCGGCGGGAGAAATGCGTGGGGATGCCATTCAGAGTAAATGGCATCCCCTCGTGCCTCACCAGAGAAACACGATGTGGCTGTGGGTGCGGGAAACAAGTATGATTCCTGCACCTGCAACCAGCCCGCAGCTGCATATTCATTGTGAACCAGGCCTGAATAAGAGTTTGATAGAAATTCCCTTTTAATCTCCAGTGAAGTACAAATGTAAAAACAATAAGTATGAAATGTAATCCTATATCAGATACTGTTGACCATTAAAAGGGACAATACACATTTATAAAAAAAAATGTGGCTAAAAAGGCAACATTGAAAATACAGAAATCCTTTAAATAACATGCTTAGGGAATGCCTTAAAGTGGTTCTAGAGGCTGAAGGTTTTATTTTATCTTCATGCATCGCATGCATGAAGGTAAAAAAACCTTCAATGTGCAGCTCCCCCCTCAGCCTACTTACCTGAGCCAATCTTAATCTAGTGATGTGCACAAGAGCAGCTGTTCTCCTTGTTCTCTCCCTCCTCATTGGCTGAGACACCGAAGCGGGAGCAATTGGCTCCCACTGCTGTCAATCAAAGCCAGTAAGGAGGGATTGGGGGGTGGGCCCGAGCCGCACTCTGTGTGTCAGACTAGTTTGCTCTGGCAACATTCAGCAGGGGGAAGGAGCCAGGAACGCCAGCAGAGGACCCGAGAAGAAGAGGATCGGGACTTCTCTGTGCAAAACCATTGCACAGAGCAGGTAAGTATGACATGTTTATTATTTTTAAAAACACATTTGAACCTTTCCAATCGCTTTGAAGCTGAAAGTGCTGTTATACAACAGTCCAATGTAATTATTTAAATAAACAAATGTAATTAAAAGGCATGAGATCTGCTTTAAAATGCCACCTAGATCCTTATCCAGGTATACAGTTTGGTGGGCAGGAAAGGAAGGGCAGTGAACGTGTAGTCCCCTTCCTGTCTATACTTGGCCAATTTCCTTTTGAAATTGGGGGATGGCTTGCAAGGGGGGGCATCAGATATATAGCTCCTCCTAGGCAAATGAGTACATAGGTGATACAATGATATCACCTAGGATCCCTGGCACTGTGTTTACAGCAGTGCTGGGAATCTGTCACTTAATGATTAGAGTGCAGCAGGGAAACAACGTCGGGTGGCGAGTAATTGAGGTGGCGGGGGACACATCAATAGACAGTGGAACCTCAAGACGGATGATGGATTTACATCTGGAGAGACTATTTAAACTATTTTTGAGTTATTATGAGACTTTTTCAAGGTGTCTTGGTGTTTGTTTACAATTAACTTTTTTGGGGGGGGGAATGAACAATAAGGTGTTTTAACAAATCCCTGTACACATTTTCCTGGGAGGGGTAGATATCTGAGGACCAGAAGTCCCCCTACAAATCCCTACATCCTTTTTAGCTGCCACCCCCTTTCCTGGCCTCCCAGGCTATATGTTGGATAAGGGTCTAGCTAGATACGTCCATGCCATTATTTGCATTTCTACGTCATGCTATCATATCAGCAGTTGTAGTCTTAAGGCATCCCTCAAGTTATTTAAAGGGTTTGTGTATTTTAAGTGGTGCCTTTTAAGCTGCTTGAAACACCCTATCCCAACTGAAAGGTTTTTTTTTTTTTTTGCAGAATTATTTATTTATAGGTACTTGTATAGTGCGGACAATTTACGCAGCTCTTTACATATATGTTTTGGTACATAGCCCCCTTGAATTCAGTGGTGTTTATAGTGCATAGAAATATCTACTTACTGGCGTGACTTGTAGCTCTCCCTTCTTTACCAGCTTCCTGATTTTTCTCAGAGCCTTATTTCGCTTACGAAGCACCCACATTGGATTAAAGCCAGCCTGAGCACAATAAGAACGTTAGATAAAAGAGTATAGGCAGAATATTAGTACGGAAATTAGATCAAACCAAAGGAAAAACTTACTGCAGCAATGAGTTTCTCTTTGAAGAATTCACTATTGGCAAAGAAAACAGGAGCTGGGCATCTGAAGATCTTAACTCCTTTAGGCTCACAAATCTGGCACAAAAAAAAATGAATTAAGCTTAAGCCCAGCTGAACTTTAAATCAGCCAAATACATTCCAGGCACATCAAAACAAAAGGTGTGCTGATTGGAGAGATTTAGCTCTGACTTATCAGTGGCTTGTTGGACCTCTACAGAGAATCCACCGATTCCTCAAAGAAAGAAAGAGTCTATCTCTACAGCATGTTGGCAGAGGACAGTCTTTTCTATTCAAGTTGGAATTGCTTTCCAAAGAAAACAACAGTTTGTTGCCTGATTGGACAAAAATTGATTTGATAATTTAGGTAAGTGTTCATATGACATAGTTTTGGGTAGATCACATGATTCATTTGTTTTTATTTCAACCAGCAGGTTGAACGAAAAAAAAATTAGCTTATTCCCCTATCCATACATTTAAAGTGGATGGGGAATCCTCCTGCTGTGCTATTGTTGGCAGGGAGCCTTCCCTGCCTTCAGAATACAAGGATCAGTGTTGGTGGCCATAGCTGGGAGCACTGATACTTTGGGAAAAACCTAACAGGCTGGTTGTACACAAGTTGATGAATAGGTTGACTTATGTACAACCAGCTAGCCAATACATGGATTAAAATTATTCCAGTCCCTACTGAACCAGCTGAATTTCAATCAATGTATGGTCTAGTTAAGATTATGCACATGATTTGTTTTGAAGCAACTAAAAAGTATTTAAATGATTTAAACTGAAAATTAAGTTGGGCTTTAGTCCTTGTTCACACTGGTGTTGCTAGTGTTACACACTGATATTGGTGTGGTGTGAACAGGGCACATTGAGAACAACTGTTATCTTTGTGTCCTTGCAGCACGTGTGCAGAAAAACGAATATCTCTGCACACTGGTGTGAATGAAGCCTAAAACTCACTGAAATGAGCATGAAAGCCCTGGTTCACACTATCCCACAGAATCACACCTGTTCCTGCACCCACAACCACCCTCAGCCTTATCACACTGCTCTTGTGAAACGTGCATTGCTGCCATTCATTCTGAATGGCACCCCCACGCATCTCAGCCCACAGTGTGATCGGAACTGCAGGGAGATCCTAAAAAGATGCTTTTTTTAAAAGGTACATGCACCATTTTTTTGTGTGAAACATGAGCAAATGCAGGTTGTGTGGCCAGCACTAGTGCAAACCTAGCCGAAAACTGATTGTCACAGACACTGGCTGTAGAGACCTTTTCTATTCACATTCTTCACCCTGTTATTTGTTATATTCCCATTTTTGAAGGATTGTTTTCTTGTATTTGTCCTAAAGACAATTCCTGTTTTTTTTTTACATGTTCCTTGAAAGAGCTGGTCACATTGGTCTCTGCTCTGTAGTCCTATGTAGGTGCCAGACTGTCTGGGGCGGGAGCCCTGACTAATCAAAGCTGTTCTGGGTGTCTGACTGTTGATTAGCTTACCATTCATTAGATCACTGTTTAATTAGGTTTCTGTTAATTGCTAGCTGTTCATTAGATGTACTATTAGATGGATGATGATATTACGTTTTAAAGTTTGCATTGTTTAGGATAGTGTGAACAAGCACTTTTCTGATTTTGGTATAAATTATGTGTGAATTTTCAATAAAAATTGTTCCTTTTTGCACCTAAGTTTTTGGGTGCAATTCTCAGCTATAATACCTTGTTCCTGTGTTCCAGCAGCAAGGAAGCAGCTCTCTGGCAGGAGGCACCCAGGCGGGTGCCAGGTGATCCGTCACACTGATTAAACTCGTGTCTCTGCAAGTGAAATCTGTATGTTTTTTCCAGCAGTTTTTCTGCATGTATGGTGTGAACGAGGCCTTGAAGTAGAACTAAACCCATTGATTTAACAGTTTAAAAAAAACAGTTACATTCCTGGCACATGCTGTGAATGATAACTGTTACATTTGCTGGCGCTCTTAACCAAACTGTCAAACCATCAAATGGCTGGTGCTGCACATGATCACATGTGCAGCACCATGACAGTTGAAGATCAAACTAAGATGGCAGCTTCCTTAGCAGAAAATGATAGGAGGGTTTAGTTCCGTTTTAATCAAAAAGTGTAAATACAGTGTGCAAACTACAATAATCTATAGCATACAAACATAATGTATACCTCATTAAACTGACTTTTGCAAACTGAAATTTTATTGGCTGCTATGGATTCTGCACATTACCATTGTACTTTCAACTGCTTTAGTTCATAAGTAAAATGTTAGTTATAATTTTGCCAAGACTTACTTCATAAAAATCTTTCCTGTTTTTGTAGATGTCGGTTTTTTCAATATTGGCTAATACTGTAAACTTGGGGCTGCAAAATAAAAAAAAGGTTTTAGTATGTATTGGTCACAACATCACTAATGTCGTATGACAAGCATGAACAAAGACGTTAGCAGAAGCAAGACTAATAAATGTTGATTGATTTGAATATTTAAAATTTTGATTGCTGCTGTAAAGTGTGAACACAACTGTGTCTGTAAATACAACCACATCCAGGGGATGCTCTCCTAAGCGCTCAATATGTGCAGACACAGCATTTCATTGGCAGACCAAATAAATCATAACTTTTATCACTTGCCAAAATACACTTCAAGAGCCCAAAAAGCATAAAAGAAGAAAGAAAATAGTATATTTCTGGTAATTTAGACCAAACTGAGGAAAATTGCAACCCCGGGGCCACATCCAGCATTTAGCTATCCCTAGCTGGCCCTCGATGCCTCCACTGTCAGCATGCTTCACTGAGGAAGCTGGCAGGCTTAGAGAGGCAAGTTGACAGATGCCCATGCTGAGAACTGCAAGAACTGGAAGTAGAGAACCTTATGAGCTGATCAATACAGCAGGGGGCTTAGTTCTGGTGGGACAACATTGCCTAGGAGCAGGGGCGGACTGACCATTTGGAAACTCGGGCACTGCCCGAGGGCCCAGGGTCAGTAGGGTGCCCCATGAGATGCCCCTGGTACCTTTTTCATAGGCTTTTTTGAGTTTGGGCAAGAACACAGGGGCCATATGATTCTGTATTGCCCGGTGGCCCCATGAGTTGTCAGTCCGCCCCTGCCTAGGAGACTTTCTTCAACCACTCTGCTATCTGGCCAAATTCTTCCTCTGTCAGTGCCTGCATGCTGCAAACCCCAGGAGCTGCATTCCTGATTTTCACTCCAGGTCAGGACCTGCAGAAATCTCTAATGTATTGATGTTAGGCTCTCTCCTTTCTGTCACAGTGCTTTTCAGGCATCCTCACCACTTGATTTAATCCTATAGCACTGCACTACCGAGCTGCAATCCCATGCATTGCACATGGTTGTGCAGTGGCCCCATTGGACTCAATAGCCAAGGTTGATAAGCAGTGCCATATTTCAGACTCTGCAGCCCAAATTAAAAATGCTGAGGCCACAGAGCAAAGCATCACAGCAGCGGCATGTGAACAGGCCCTTCCGACTGTTATTTTACAGTTTGGGTGGGTGGCTGGGGATCGGTAAAACCTACCACTCCCTGACTGCCCATTTGAAAGAGACCTATTTCATAAGCAGTTGTACTTATTATTCCTAGTGCCAGGTGTTTGTTTTCTATATTTTTACATACTTTTGGACCACTCCAGGGCCAAAATCAATATTGAGCAGAGTTAAGTTTGGCCCTCCACAACTGTCGTAGTTTCTCCTGTTGCCTCTTGGGAAAATGAATTGCCTACCTCTGATTTATACAGTACAGTAGCCCCTTTCACACAAGCTTTGTCCGTCCAACCAGTAGGGGTTCCATGAACAGATTCTCTGCTGAATCTGAGCCAACCAATATGGATGCCACTTTTGTGATATCGACTTTAAAGACTTTTTATGGTGAGTTTTTTTGGACCTATATGTGCTCAGAGGTAACCAGATGTAAACATATACACGTCCATTTACATCTGCCTGCCCATAGACTTACACAGAGCTTTTGTTCAGATCTGCCAGAAAAACTTGCAGGCAGATCTGAGCTGAACGACTATATGAAAGAACTCTACGATAATTGCCTATGTAAATATGTTTTTCTGCAAGATCAGGCAGCATTTTATATGTTAAGATACAAACTGTGATTTCTCTTTGTAAGGCATGTAAAGATGCTTCTATTTATCTAGCATAATAAAATAGGCAAGTTCACTTACAATTGCACACGGAACACCACGGTCAGAAGTTCAATTCCCACACCAACAGCGAGGCCAAGATCCAGACCAAGAATTACAGAGGCTAGGAATGTCAATATCCAGACAAGCTGTCAGGAAAACACACAGTTTAATCTGTAGTGATCAGAATAAGCACAACCAGGGGCAGACAGGTGGACCTGATTGGACTGATCATGTGAAAAGGGCCAAAGCTGCTTACATACTGCAGTGCACCTGTGGCTTTCCTACGGGTTACCTGTACTTTGCCATAGAATTCTATTACATACTGCAGGTGTGGTGCACTTTCTGAAAGTGCACCACAACTTCTGCATTCAGGAGTTTTGGTGTGCTTTCAGAAACTGCACAAAACCTGCAGGATATAATAAAAGTCTATGGCTCAGTGCAGGTAACCCACAGGATCACTGCGCTGCACCTGTGGATCAGTTTGAATGCAGCCCAGAGTAACCAGTGCAGAACTAGAACAGATATGCCCATTGCTTTGTGGTTTTAATTAAAAAAAACCTGACCTTTAAACACAATCTTCACTTCAGGAGTCACCCTGCAGGTATCGCTGGCTGTTGCTATCCCAGGCAGAGTGCATTTGGTATCATTCCACCTGTAACAGGAGCCGGCGCTATACAGAGAGCATTGGTTCTGCTCTCTACTGCAGCCACATGCTTCTTCTTCTGCCGGCTCCATTCTCAACACTGATGCTCTGGGATGCTGGGTCAGGGACCCGTGATCTGGGTATGCTGACCCCTCATCCCAGAGCAGGAGGCCACATCAGAGGGCTCCATGGGGGACAGCAGTTTGGGCACCCCTGATCTAGAGTTGCAAGAAAAAGTATGTGAACCCCCTGGGATTACGTGGAGTTTTGCATGAATTGGGCATAAAATGTGCTCTGAACGTCATCTAAGTCACAACAATAGAGGAACACAGTCTGCTGAACATAATACTACACAAACATTAGATGTTGCCATAGTTTAATTGCACATAACATGTAAACATTCACAGTGCAGGGAGGAAAAAGTATGTGAGGCCCTAGCTTAATGACGTCTCCCAGAGCTAACTGGAGCCAGGAGTGAGCCAACCTTGACTCCAATTAGTGTGATGATATTGGATGTGTTGCTGACAGCTGTCCTGCCCTTAAAAAACACACACCTGTTTTTGGGTTTACTGGTTTCAAGAAGCACTGTCTGATGTGAACCATGCCTCGCAGAAAAGAGCTCTCAGAAGACCTACGATCAATAATTGTTGACTTGCATGAAGCTGGAAAGGGTTACAAAAGTATCTCCAAAAGCCTTGATGTTCATGTGTCCATGGTAAGACAGACTGTCTACAAATGGAGAAAGTTTAGCACTGTTGCTACTCTCCCTAGGCGTGGTCGTCCTGTAAAAATGACTGCAAGAGCACAGCGCAGAATGCTGCATGAGGTAAAGAAGAATCCCAGAGTGTCAGCTAAAGACCTACAGAAATCTCTGGCACATGCTAACATTTTTGTTGACACATCTACAATAAGGAAAAACATTAAACAAGAATGGAGTACATGGGAGGACACCACCGAGGAAGCCATTGCTGTCCAAAAAGAATATTGCAGCACGTTTGAAGTTTTGCAAAAGAGCACCTGGATGTTCCACAGCACTACTGGCAAAATATACTGTGGACAGATGAAACCAAGATTGAGTTGTTTGGGAAGAACACACAACACTATGTGTGGAGAAAAAAAGGCACAGCACACCAACATCAAAACCTCATCCCCACTGTAAAGCATGGCGGAGGGAGCATCATGGTTTGGGGCTGCTATGCTGCCTCAGGGCCTGGACGGATTGTTGTCATTAATGGGAAAATGAATTCCAGAGTTTATCAAGACATTTTGCAGGAAAACGTACGACCATCTGTCCGCCAACTGAAGCTCCGCAGAGGATGAGTGATGCAACAGGACAATGACCCAAAGCATACAAGTAATTCAACAAAACAATGGCTGCAACAGCACAGAATACGCCTTCTGGAGTGGCCCAGTCAGAGTCCTGACCTCAACCCGATTGAAATGCTGTGGCATGACCTTAAGAGAGCGATTCACACCAGACATCCCAAGAATATTGCTACACTGAAACAGTTTTGTGAAGAGGAGTGGTCCAAAATTACTCCAGATTGTTGTGCAGGTCTGATCTGCAACTACAGCAAACGTTTGGTTGAGGTTTATTGCTGCCAAAGGAGGGTCAACCAGTTATTAAGTCCAAAGGTTCACATACTTTTTCCTCCCTGCACTGTGAATGTTTACATGTTATGTGCAATTAAACCATGGCAACATCTAATGTTTGTGTAGTATTATGTTCAGCAGACTGTGTTCTTCTATTGTTGTGACTTAGATGACGTTCAGAGCACATTTTATGCCCAATTCATGCAAAACTCCACGTAATCCCAAGGGGTTCACATACTTTTTCTTGCAACTGTATATGTACTTAATCTTATTCCTGTAGGAGCCTTGATGGACAGCTCTAAATAAAATAAATATAACATTATTGATATTTAGATAGTAAACATACAAATCCAATGCAAAGAAGAAAAAAATAATAAAAATAACAATCTACTTACACAGTCATATTTGTCTCTCCTAAACAACACAGGAATTTCATTGAATTTCAGCAGCATCCCCTTTAAATTTATCAGGATAATGCCGGCCAAAAACTGACTATAAAACAAAAGCACAACAAAGATTTTCATTGTCAGCCTAGCAGCATTTCATTGTCAGTTAGCAGCATTTTACCAAGATGATTACAGTTAAACGCTAGGAAAAAATTATTTTTGAACAACATAAGAATAAGTTTCATCTAATGTTTTGTGGCTGCAACTGCATTCTCTAAAACTGTTAGTTTCATTCCTCCCATACCTTACAGTATGTGCCAAACCTTACAATTTTGGCTGGAGTACAGTTCTTTATCTGGTGTTCTGTGATTAGAGGAGGGGTGGATGGACATCATGATCCCACCTCCTCCAATCACAGAATGCTCTGTATTCAGTGAAATGAATGAATGGAGGAAGTGGAGAGCAAGAGACATCCTTGAGAGGACTTCACTCCAGCTGGAACTGTATGTTATAGCTCTGGATAATCATCCCTTACTTTAGTGTTAGGAAGTCATGAAACTAGCGGTTTTTAGGGAACATAGCAGCAACTGCACATGGAGCGCACATCATTGCTGGTAACTTATTCTTACATTGCAAATGTTCAAAAATATTTTTTCTAGAGTTCAGTATTAAACCATTCACACTAAACTCTGAAGAAGAATCAATGTCATGTTCCTATGACAGTCAACATAAGTTCACACTCTGGAGTCCATTTTATACATAGGCCAGTAACTCATTAGGCCGTACATAGACAGACTGAACCAGCAAAATTTTGATCCATCTATGGGCATGCTGGTTGTACTGCAGTTAATCTATATATTCATTTCAGTAAAACCAGCCTGTTTCATACAATCACTGCTTCTGGCTATAGCCTGCAACAGTGTTATTGGGGGGGAAACTCCCACTGTCAGAATACAATAGCTCTGCGGGAGGGATTCCCACAATAACATTGACTACATTTATGGGGGAATGGAGTGGTTTTCTTTCCTTCAACAATTGGATGAAGAAAGAAAATTGCATAATGTATGGCCAGCCTTATGCAGGCCATAGATGGGTCGAAAATCGGCCGATTTTTCGGCCGAAAAATAATTGGCCGATATTCACACTGTTAATGGGTTAAATTGGTCGGCTGTTTTTCTGGATTTTGGCAAATTTTTTTAACCAGTAAAGTTGGAAAAAAATCGGCCGATTTTACCGATCGGCCGATTTTTACAGCAATGATAGGCAAATCAGCTGATCTTTTTACCGATAAAAAAATCTGCGCATGAGCCATGACCTGCAAGCAAAAGAAGAAGAAGAAAAAGAAGAAGAATTCCAGTCGCTATTATATTTGACATGAAAAAGTATTGTGGTTGCAACAATGTATCTATTTGTATCCGAATAAAAACATCTGTATCCGAAATGGATACAAATAGATACAATGTTGCAACCGCAATACTTTTTAATGTCAAATATAATAGCGGAGCTCTGCAGGGACAGAAGTAATTAAATTGCGGCCGTAGACAGTATGAAAATCGGCCGATTTTTTTTTACCGTTGGTGGTAATGTCCGCCTATTGAACGACCGATTTTTTGTTTTGTTTTTTTTTAAAAAACTGCCGGTTTTCGACCCATCTATGGCCTGCATTAGTATGTTTAAGGGGTATGTGAGAAAAGATTAAAGCTGGCCATAGATGGGTAAAATTTTGAACTAAAAATCTAGGGGAAGAAAAGGTGCTAAGAAAGTTCTTTAATTTTTCGAACCATTAGTACAGTAGGTCAAATAAATGTTTGTTTTTCATCCACATTGACTAGAAAATTTGAAGGAGCAAGATGAAAATTTTTACTCGAACAAATTAATTTCTAACCATGAATGTGAATTTCATTTGGTACATTCATTCCAAGATCTTTTGAATGACAAACAAATGTTCTGAGAATGTCCTTATGATTTTTCATAAGACTATCTCTAAGAATTTTCATTTTCATCAATATTTGGCTGGACCAATAAGGACCAGCCAAACTTTGATCAGTGTGGGCTTCCCCACAACAACAGAAGTCATTTTTTAATCGACTTCTGCTGAAGGGTCATGTTGAAAATGTTTCCATTTTTGCAGCCAATCAGTGGGTGCCACTGCTAGAATGCAAGAATGGATTAATCTGTTGGCCTACTGGATGAAAAAAAAAACTATCCATGTATGGACATCCTTATACTGTTATAATGGTACGAGAGTGCATTATTCCATAAATTCATCTGTCTGAATTAAAGTTGCAGCGATACCGTTTTTTTTTATCGGTGAGTACAAGTACTGATACTTGTGCTCAAGTACTCCCTGATACCAATTACCGATACCTTTGCGGTGCCATTTAAGCCCAAACAAAATGAATTGGCTTAAATTGCACTGCAAAGAATCGCATGTGATTTGAACAGGAATGCAGTGCAATTTCTGTCCAAAACACATGTGGTTTTCCCTGTGGGTGTGGTGCAATTTGAGCCATAGAAAATCGTACTGCACCCGCAGGGAAAACACATGTGTTCGGACAGGAATCGCACTGCATTCCTGTTCAAATCACATGTGATTCCTTGCAGTGAAATTTGAGCCCTTTAATTTTGTATGGGCTCAAATCACACTGCAAATGTCTTAGTTTCAGGTATCAGAGCATTTGCATGAGTACTTGTGCAAATGATGAGTATTGGTGCCGGTACCAGTATCAGTGCAGCCCTAGTCTGAATATATACTAGTTTTGCCACAGGTCAATTTTCAGAGCATATAAGGACAAATTTGTTTTATTTTTATACCCAGAGATAATATTTTAAAGTGTCTATTCCAATACCAATAGAAAGGGTTATTTAATCATCTAGCTCCAGTTGTTTGTTATTTGTCCTATTTGTTGTAAAGTAAAACATAAATAGTGTTTATTTTGCTATCAGAATTATTTCAAATCAGAATGTTTTTTATTTTCTTTATTTTAGATTTTATTATTTAGAATTACTATGTTTTTTTTTTGTTTGTTTCTGTAGCACCCTCCTAAGTAGCTAGGGGGGAGCTAAGTTAATTATTTTTCCGTAGGAGGCTGAATAGCAGCTGAGAGAAATAGTCAAATTTTGGTCAGGGCTGAGAGGCTCTGAAGATCAGCTCTCTGGAACTTCCCCCTGATCTAGAGACTTGGAGAAGTCTCTAGAATTCAGTGAGCAGGGGTGAGGAAGAGCTGGTCTGCACTCTCAAGGTATCCTGGCCAATCCCCAAGCAGGAGGCTTGGCATAGGGTCAGGATAGACCGTAAGAGTGACCAAGCCTACTCAGTAAAAGAAGAATTTGGGTGGAGGATGGAGTGAATAGGATGGTGTATGGAGCCTGGGAGGGAGTCCAGGAGTGGGATCTACCTACAGGTGGGGGAGCTGGAAGGGAGGATCTTTTAGCCTCACTGTCCTTTAAGAGAAGACAGCCTGGGAAGCAGGGGAGGAGCCAACCAAGCGTAAGCCACCAACCTACACGTTTGCAGGAAAGACTGAGTGACTAATCCCATACCCCCTGGGCCAGATAAGGGGAGAAGAGCATTCTACTGGGAAACCTGACTAGCTCCCATCTGGGACTGCTTTCATTTTAGGTCCCAGGAATTCCCTCAGGCAGTTGGGTGAAGAGGAGATTTCATCTGTGATCTGAAGTGGTACACAAGAAAAGGCTGGATAGCTCTCCAAGAAGACAAAACCCTTTTGAGTACTTGTACATAGTTCCAGGAAGTTGTCCTCTGTTTTACAGTTCCTTGGGCATCCCATGTATCCCTTATATCCATCCAAGTTTCAATCCCTTAAAAAAATCCAAAATAACAAGTTCAAGGACTGTTTACTGTCTCTGCAGTGCAAGTCTGGAAGGAAATGCATGTTTCCTGGCTTGGCAGGACTATAGGGGGACCCAAATCTCTAGAGACTCCTAAGGGGGTAGTACTACACTTCTATATTTGAAGCACAATTAAAACATATAAACACACCAATAAATTACCTTTGGTAGAGGTTCTAGTAGGTATCCAACAGCCAATGTCACTATTAATACCAGTATTCCAGAAATGATGCCAGCAACCTGTGAAATGTTCATAGGTAAGAATAAGAAAAGTATTTTGCAACACTCAGTCAAAGTAGCAGTTTTTCAATAGTAGCTTTTATTTTACTATACTGTAGAGAACTAAAAGGCTAATGGATTGTCTTGCAGTGGTAATTAACCTCCCTAGCGTTATGATTATGTCAGTATTTCTGTGCTAAAAGTGGTACATTGTTTTCAATGGAAATATGTTGTTTTATTATTGTAGGCCTGTAATTCTTAGGAATAACTCACTGAAATCTGTTTAAACAAGAGTCTAGTAGACATCCTTGGTGCAATAAAGTTTAGTAAATTAAATCATAAATTGTAATATAATACAAAATAATAATATAATAATAAATTAAATAATGTAATCAAATCAAACACACAGAACTCTGTCCAAACAATATTATATAGACACTGCATTTTGTTTTAGAAAACATCAGGCGTGTGGTAAATTTTGAAACATGGGACTGCACAAAGTCTGACATCGCAATCAGGACAGTGGAACCTCATTTCCTTGCGGATTTTTTTTCCACTCTCATCTTGCCGAGAGCAACATACCACGCACATCCGTGTAGGTGCTGCCTTTTTTTTGGGATTGGTGGGATGTGGTCCATAAAATGATGTCCAGTCAGACGTTCTGAGTACAGAGTCCCAGTAGTCTTCTTCTTTTTCAGCATGGGCCTTGGCAAACTCTAGGTGGGCTTTTTTGTGCATGAGCTTTAGGCTCCCTTTGTGGACGATACCCATGCATGCCATTCCTCTGTAGTGTACGTCATATTGTATCATGGGAAACAATGACCCCAGTTTAGCTTCCTACTTCTTTAGCTAACTGCAGTGAACTTGAATGGTGATTTTCTTCAACCCTTCTTATCAGAAGATGCTCCTGTCGAGGTGTTAACTTCCGTGGATGGCCTGGACGTCTCTGTGAGATGGTTGCACTTCCATCTTTGTTAAATTTTTGTATGACTTTTGCTACAGTATTCTGACTGATAAGTAAAGCTTTGCTGATCTTCTTGTAGCCTTCACCTTTCTTGTGTAAAGAAATTATTTTCCTTCTCAGGCCTTGTGACATTTCTCATCCATGTGGTGCCATTGCTGACAGCATGAAATGGGAAGAGGTTTTCTTTGTTAAGTAATGCCCTTTTTTAATCAACTGTCTGCTGGACACCTGTGTAATGAATAATTAGGCTCACCTGTAGTTGAATTCTTGTTAATTAGGATTTTGTTGTCTAAAATTTAGCTTTGTTCTTAAGACTTCTATTCAGGTGTATTCATTTTTGCAAGATGGTCTTGAGAGAATTTGTTAGGAAAAATACTTTTTTTGTGTGTGAAAAGTAACAAATCTTGTTTGCAATCAATGGCCCGCATTTGTGGGAGTATTTTGTAGTATAGTGTCCCATGAAATATGTTGATTCTGAATGGAAAGTAAAAGATTTTCTGACAAATCTGTTGGAGTGTACTCATTTATACTGAGCACTGTATATATAGCCTTCTTACAATAATCACACTAGTAAGCGAGAAGATAATAATCACATGGGTGTGATTTACTAAAACTGGAGCACACAGAATCTGCTGCAGATGTGCATAGTAACCAATCAGCTTCTAACTTCAGCTTGCTCAATTAAGCTTTGACAATAAAACCTGGAAGCTGATTGGTTACTTTGCAGAGCTGCACCAGATTCTGTGTGCACCAGCTTTGGTAAATCTCCCCTCCCATGGCCTCTTAGTACCTGAGTTTTTCCTCCAGTGCTTTCTTGTACAGATGACCTTGATAAAGATGTACTCGCAGCAAATCCTTTAAATGAGCCGCATAAAATATTACTCAGCCCAAATGCAATTAACTCCTGTAGTAGAAATTATGAAAGTTATATTTTGTTAGAATTGATTATTGTTTGTATTTCATCCCTGTTCATGCAGTTCCATGCACTCACTTTGAATATACACATTTCATAAGTAACCTGTTCAATAGCTTTTAGTGTCCACAGTTTTCCTGAGGACTCCACATTTTGCACTTAAAGCAACCCTGTGCCCAGGTCCCTCACGGCAAAGTATTTACTTACTATGAACCAGCAATAAAAGCACAATAAAACGAGCCTTCATCCAGAGCTATGACAGCTGTGTGGTGGCTGTCTCTCTCTCCTCTCTCTCTGCTGCTGTCTGCACATGCACACAAAGAGGGGGCAGGCAGGACACATTCTGAGCTGTCGGGTGGAAGCGGTAGGATTGTATGAGAGGAAACTCAGCAGGTCCTCTGACTTCCAGATCCACATACAAGCCCACCGCTTTCACCCAGCAGCTCACAGTGTGGCCGGCCTGCCCCACCTTGTGTGCACATGCAGGGCTGAGCAGGGGCAGGAGGGGGGTACTGTACTGGGCTGGGTGGGGGGCTGATCAGAGAGTGTGCCACTGCAGATATCAAAGCTTTTTTTTTTTAAAACACCTTTCTTTTATAAGTTATTAAAAGCACTGAGGTGCAGGATGTTATGGAAAAGTAACACCCCCTTTCCTGGTAATGACACATGCCCTCCTGCCCCCTTTTTGCATTAACAGATGACCCCTCCTTCAAGAACCCCCCCTTCAGCTAATCATAGATGACCCCCCACCAGGTAATGACAGATGACCCTTTCCCCCCCACCAGGTAATAACAGATGACCCCTCCCCCCCACCAGGTAATGGAAAATGACCTCCCTCTCCCCCCAACAGGTAATGACAGATGGCCTCCTTCCACCCACCAAGTAACGATAGATGACCCCCTCCCCCCATCAGGTAATGACTGATGAACCCCCCCCTCCCCACCAGGTAATTTATTTATTTTATTATTTATTTTAGGTATTATAAAGCACTGTCAATTTACGCAGCGCTTTACATATATACTGTACATTCACATCAGTCCCTAACCCTCAAGGGCTGTACAATCTAAGGTCCCTAACTTACATTCATACATACACATACTAGGGACAATTTAGACAGGATCCAATTCATCTACCAGCATGTCTTTGGAGTGTGGGAGGAAACCGGAGTACTCGGAGGAAACCCATGCAGGCACAGGGAGAACATGCAGGCAGGTCGTGCCATGGTTGGGATTTGAACCAACGACCCTAGTACTGCCAGGCGGAAGTGCCTACCATTTAGCCACTGTGTAATGACAGATGATCCCCCCGGGGAACGACAGATGACCCCCCTCTCAAAACAGGTAATGACAGATGACCCCCCTCCCCCACCAGGTAATGATAGATGACCCCACCTCTCCCAACAGGTAATGACAGATGACCCCCACAAGGTAATGACAGATGACCCCCTCCCCCACCAGGTAATGAGAGATGACCCCCAACTCTCCCACCAGGTAATTACAGATGAACCCCCTCCCCCCACCAGGTAATGCGAATGATCCCCCTCCCCCACCAGGTAATGCGAATGATCCCCCTCCCCCACCAGGTAATGACAGATACCCCCCTCCACCACCAGGTAATGACACATGGCCCCCCCAGGGAATTACTGATATCCCCCCACCATCCTGGTAATGTCACATTAACCCCCCCCCCCCGTGCTGAAAATGACAGATTCCCCATCTAGCTCCCCTTCTGCTCATCCTGCTAAAACTGTCACACTAAAATCTGAAACCTCTGGAGCCCACAGTCCCTAGGGGCCCCTCAGGAGGTGTTATGGGATTTTATGAGAATTTTGTAATGTGAATGTCAGCAGGAGTTGTGGGGAGGGGTGGGGCGGTGTGTGTCTGTTCTCTGCATGGATCCGACCAGAATCTTTTTACCTCCCCAATGACAGCAGTACCAGCTTCTGGACAGTGCTCTCCTCCTACTCCCCACTCACTCAGCCCGGTGACAGCTCGGTGTCCATCCCTGCCTGGTCGTCAGCACTGACACTTTCCCATCCAGCAGGGCTAGCCTCACCCCATCCTTTCTCCACTACTGTTCGGCTCAGGACTTGAAATGGAGCCAAAAGCTCAGAGCTTTTGCTTTGCTCTGGATTCCACTTTGCCCGTGATAGTGACAGGGAGACAGCACAGGTCCCCCTGGAGCATGAGTAGGGTCACAACACAGGCAGTGGGTTTTTCTATGACAGTGGCCAATGGGAGGGGCACTGGAGTCAGTGGAGCATGATGATGGTGCGTAGCGGGGGTGAGGATAGTAACACTCTTGCTTACTGGGGATGGGAGAGAAACACTTATACTCAGTAGGAGGGACATTGACACTCAGTGACGGGTGTGGAGGGGGGACAATGGTGCTTAGTGGCTGGGTGGGGGAACAATAGTGTTCAGTGGAAACAACAATAGTGCTTAGGGGGGAAAACAACAGTGTAATGCGAGTGATGGGACAAACATTCTAGATTCAGATCCCAGCCATTCATAAATTCTGCTTCAACACATTTTTGGATTTTCTTTTGATAAAACACACCAAAAGACAGCAAATAAAACACCAAAAGCATAATAAATAATGCAACAGAACACTGCAGCATTGCATATTGTCCATCTACTCCTGTAATCCTCAAGCAGTCCTCTGTCCTTTCCCTACAGAGTCCAACTGTGTACACAGCAGACATTTACTACTTTCCTCCTCCATTTCTGCACCTTGGGGTATCTGGTATGCAGCAAAGTTGACAGACTGGTGACCAAAATTCTTTCTTTTCTTTAGGATATAACAGAGCACTCAACATATGTAGTTACCGACAGCCACAAGTGCCAGTCAGGAGGCAGGTTGCAGCTAAACACCGTGCAGCCTAGAAGATGAAGCCAGGGATGGGAATGAAACCTCAGATATCATTATGCTTAGTGTAGTGGGCAGGATTCAGAAGGCATGGATCTGCTGCCCAAGATTAAGTAGATGGGCAGCAGAACAAATTCAGGGTGATGGGGAAAAACTGGAGGTCTATGGGACTGCGGGATTTAGGTTCCTCTTTAACATCACTTCACTCCGTCAATTGTAAACTTTGAAGATTAATTGTTTCGTAGTGGCTATAAATACAGAGGTCAGTAAGAATTGCTTCAAAGCCTCTTGTATACATTGTTATGAATATACAAATGTTCAAATACTGATAGCCCGACCAAAGTTATACTCGAATTACATAATTTAGTAAGAAGAAGCACTTGACAAACATACATTGAACACATCACCGTTTTTCTCAGTAAATATAATTCTCTAAAGGTACTATTGACATGCAATTTTTACCACATGTCAGTAACAACCTATGCAATCCACACATACAAGAAACCAAAACAAATACGTTCAGAAATTAACTTATGTATAGTAAAATAGAATGACACAGGGAAAAAGTGCTGAACAGATGACGAAAGGGAGGTGCAAAAAGGCATGGAAAGCCAAGACACCAGCTGAAATCTATCAGTAATTAGAAATCAATCCTGCCCCTTGTCAGTGCAAATTAATATCGGCTGGTTCTGTCTCAACTGATGACCTATAAAAAGGTGTCTCAATACCAAAGTGTTACACATGATGGGTAAAAAAGCAAAGAGCTCTCTCGAGACCTTTGCAACCTTATTGTTGCAGAACGTACTGATGACATTGGTTACAGAAGAATTTCTAAACTTCTGAATGTTCCAGTGAGCACTGTTGGGGCCATAATCCGGAAGTGGAAAAAAGATCATTTCACCATAAACTGGCCACGACCAGGTGCTCCTGACAGATTTCTGATAGAGGAGTGAAAATAATTATCAGAAGAGTTGTCCAAGAGCCAAGGACCACTTGTGGAGAGCTTCAGAAAGACCTTGAATTAGCAGGTACAGCTGTTTCAAAGAAAACAATAAGTAATGCACTCAACTGCCATGGCCTGTATGCAAACTCACCATGCTAGACTCCATTGTTGAAGAAAAAGCATGTTGAAGCTCATTTAACGTTTGCTGCACAACATTTAGTCAAGCCTCTGAAATACTGAGAGAATAAAGTCTGGTCAGATGAGACCAAATTGAACTCTTTGAATGTCATAATACACACCATGCTTGGAGGGGCAAATGGCACTGCAAATCACCCCAAAAACACCATATCAACAGTGAAGTTTGGAGGTGGGATCATCATGGTGTTGGGCTAATTTTCTGCATACTATACTGCAAACTTCATTACAATGAAGAAAGGATGAATGGAAAAATATACCAAGACATTCTTGATAGAAATCTGCTGTCATCTACCAGGATGATGAAGATGAAACGAGGGTGGATATTTCAGCAAGACAATGATCCCAAACACAAAGCCAAGGACACTCTCAATTGGTTTCAAAGAAAGAAAATAAAGCTGCTAGAATGGCCCAGCCAATCACCTGACTTGAATCCAAGAAAAAAATCTATGGAAAGAACTAAACATCAGAGTTCATAGAAGAGGCCCACAGAACCTTCAAGATTTAAAGACTGTTTGTGTGGAAGAATGGGCCAAAATCACATCTGAACAATGCATGCGATTAATTTCTCCATACAGGAGGCATCTTGAAGCTGTCATTACCAACAAAGGATTTTGTACTGTAGCAAATATTAAATACATTTCAGTTAATGTATTCAATACTTTTTCTCTGTGTTATTCCATTTTATAACACATAACTTAATTTCTGAACTTATTTGTTTTGGTTTCTTTGTATGTATGGATTACATGGGCTTTTACTGACGTGTGGTAAAAAGTTCATGTCAAAAGCACATTTAGAAATATATTTATCGAGAAAAATGGTGATTTGTTCAATAGTTATTTTACCAGCTGTATATAGCACCAATGTGACCTTTTTTTATGTAATTGTCTGGACAGTACTGATATTCATATAATAAACCACAGTGCTAGAAATCTACAAAAAAAATCTGCTATCTTATATTTCAATTAAATAGATTTCTAAAAGAAACACATTCTCAGTATTGCTCGGGTGGTTACAGTGTAATCAGTCATTTCCTTGGACAAAAAAAGAACCAGACTGTAGTCATTTTTACGGTAAAGTTCTGAATATGCTTTCAGGGCTAGTTCACACTAGATGCAGTCCAGTGTGTTTCTTTTCTGCATCAAAAATGCATGCACAGTGTTTTCCATGTATTCCAATGGCCCTGGTGCAGACAGTTCCAGTTAGTTTTCAGTGCAGAAAAAAAAGTAGAACATGCTGCATCTTTTCTGCACAGAACCATACTGAAACATAGCAAACTGGATCAAAACTGTACCAGAACTGCATGTGGTGTGAACTGTAAGCATCTGGAGTGCAATTTTGTAGTGTGAACTGGCCCTCAATCTGATACAAATGTATGACTAGTACGTTCATCAAACTGCAAATTAGTTTCAGTTTTTAAAGTGATTCTAAAGGATAAATGTAAAAAACAAAAACATGCATTCCTTTTGCACAGAGCAGCCCCAATCCTCCTTTTTTTTTTGGTCCCCCCGCTGGCACTCCTGGCTCCTCTTGCCTATTGAGTGCCCCTGTAGCAAGCTGCTTATTATGGGGGCACTCATTCAGGCTCGCTCCTGAGCCATGTTCTGTGTCTCCATTGGCCAAACCCTGCCCCTGGCTCCCTCCTCACTGGCTGTGATTGAGAGCAGCAAGGGCCAATGGTTCCTGCCTGCTGCTGCCTCTGTGCCCAGTGTGGGGAGAGAGAAAGCACAGTGCTGGATCGAGATTGGGCTCAGGTAAGTATAAAGGAGGGCAGAGCAAGGGGTGGGGGGGAAGCTGCACAGAAAAGTTTTTTTTTACCTTAATGCAGAGAATACATTGAGTTTACCGTTACAATACCTTAAATATCATAATTATGAATTCAGTCTAAAACAAATGGTTTACTTTCCTGTTATACTATTTTTGTTGTTTAGAATCTAAAAAACCCATATTACAATTCTACTTCATGCATTTAAGCCTGTTGCAGCGGCACTCTTAAAAGAGAAAAATGAATAGATTACAAATGTATTGTACATCAGACATTTCTGTGGGATGCCGTGATAATGGAGGGCTGCTTCCCACTGAAACATTAGTTTCAGTCACTGGTTTATCTCCACCTACAGTATATCTGACATACAGAAAGGAAGATCTAATGCACAATGATAAGGATGCTCATTGTGTTCTATCTTTTCCGTGCTTTTCTAGTTTTCTCTTGTTAGGTCCTGTGTGTGCCCACTACAATACTAGTCTTACTAGTACAGGCGTACCTCGGTTTACGAATGCCTCGGTTAACGTAATTTTCGGTTTACGAATGAAAATCTATTGAAAATAATGCCTCGGTTTACAAATTTTTTTAGCAATACGAACGGATTAATTGGTTTTTCAATGAATTTCCAAATTTTTTTTAACCATGTCCCTGTACAGTACTATGCCTTTAAAGTGCACTTTATAAAGAGTTTTGAACAGATAAGACTTTTTTTTTACTTTTTTCTGACCTCCAGAATGGATTAATTGTTTTTCTATGCATTAACAAATTAATTTTTATTCATGTCCCTGTACAGTATTTATCCCTTTAAAGTGCACTTTATAAAGAGTTTTGAACAGTAAAAAAATAAAAAAAAAATCAAATTTCGTATAAATTTAGGCCAAAATGTATTCTGCAACATGTCTTTGCTAAAAAAAATCCCAACATGTGTAAATTAATTGGTTTACGTGAAAGTTATAGCGTTTACAAATGATGGTATAGGTAATAGGATTTTTTTTTCTACTAGTAATGACAGCAATCAGCGACTTTTAGCAGGACTGAGGGACTTCGACAGACATAATGACACTGGGGGGAACTAACTTGGTGTCACTGACACCTTAGTGAAATCAATACAGTGATCAGTGCTAACAAAAAACACTGACACTGTACTAATGGCACTGGACAGGAAGGGGTTAATGTGAGGGGCTATCAAGGGGTTAACTGTGTGCTGGGAGTGTTTTACTAGGAGGCGGGGGGGTGTTCTTCACTGTAAGCACACTGATTGGGATGGTTGTACTGTGCACAGCCATCCCAAGCAGTATGCTCGAGCTGACAGGGAGGAAGATTGTTTGTAAACAAAACAATCTTCCTCCCCATCAAAGATGCTCAGTAATCACTGGGCGCCGGTGGGTAGTCACCATAAGCCAGGTTTAAAATGTTATTTGGTGTTCAAGAAATACAGAGATATAAAAAAGAGTGTGGGTTTATTACACACATATGTTCTTTTCATTCCTCTTTTCATTTTCTCCTGTACCTCTTACAGCTAATCACCCAAGGCTGTGGGATGGGTGACCTTGCAAAAAAAATCTAGATAAAAAACAGTGAGATGAATAAACACATAAGAAATAAGCCCACAAAGAGAATGCATATAATTAGCAATTGTGCCCCCAAATGTGTATCACCAGTTGAATACCCAGAAATAGTTCCCCCAGGTGCAAAAGTACATAGAGACACAGAAGATGCATGTGGGCTACAGGAGATACGTTAACTTTCAAAAGAGTGCTGAATGGTATTACAAGAGGAAAGTTGCCTTGACATCACAACAGTGTGCCAGCTAATGGCATCCAGCCTCCATATACTGTGATTCATCACTTCCTGCAATCCAGTATTCAATGCATTGCCTTCATTCTCAAGTCAATTAAGCCTGGATTGCCAAGCTTGTTTTTTATTTTATTTTTTATAACTGAGAGGATCCCCTCTTGTTCCTATGCTGGGGCTCCAGTAAGTACAGAGAAGCACCAGTCAGTGCTGTGATAAATATAAAAATGCAGCGCTTAAAAGAGTGATAAACACAGTCCAATGAAAGAAGTGCTCCGTGATTCCTAGTGCAAATGGTGGAAATTTACACTAACCAGATAGCGTAAAATTATACGCATGTGTGTATAAATCCTGTGGAATCCCCTTCTCCTAAAGGTGGGACCCAGGACGCCGTTGACACTAAGCCGCCGGTGCCACGAGGAGGCCCGGCGGCCATCTTTGATATCAAGGGGTCAGTGTGATTCATCCATATCTGCCTATACCCTGTCCATTGTGCACAGATATTTTACATTAAAAGCCTTATCTACTACACTATGAGTACTCCCCTGTGTCTCCTGTGAGGAGCTTCTTCCATTTTTACAGCCCCTAAGGATCTCCTGGGACGGGGGAGGCTTTCCTCAGATTGGCATCGCTCTGACCTGCTGGACCACTCTTTTATCACATGAGGGCGCAGGATACCTACCTTTTCCGGCTATTCTTTTGACCAGATCCAAGTGGAGAAGGGGATTCCACAGGATTTATACACACATGCGTATAATTTTACGCTATCTGGTTAGTGTAAATTTCCACCATTTGCACTAGGAATCACAGAGCACTTCTTTCATTGGACTGTGTTTATCACTCTTTTAAGCGCTGCATTTTTATATTTTGAATTGTGGGACTTTATATGCGTTTTCCTTTTATGTTCAGCTGCTGCCACCAGTATTGAGCGCTTACTGTATATTTTACTTTATATTAGTGCTGTGATAACACTGCCCCTCCCTGCAAAAAACCTTGTCCATATGTTGATGGGGGTAAGGGCCTCATACTCACATTCTGTTTCCCAAAAGTGATGTGGGAGGTACTTGTCAAAATCTGGATGCCTCCCACCGTGAATGAGTTTGGGGTACATAGTATACTGTGTTACTCATTCATAAAGAAATCATAAATAATAAACACATATGTAATATAATACATATTCATAGGTATTCATGAGTGTTCACCTCCCATTACTAGGCTGCAGCTAGAGGGAGCTCTAATGATTTGTATTGTGAGTTCAGGAGACTAATACCAACAAGCTCACATTAAAGTGTTTCTAAAGGTTGAGGGTTTTTTACCTACATACATTCTATGCATGAAGGTAAAAAACCTTCAATGTGCAGCAGCCACCTCAGCCCCCCCAAATACTTGAGCCCATCTCGGTCCAGCAATGTGCACAGGAAACTCGGCTTTCTCGGGTCTCTGCCTCCTCATTGGCTGAGACACAGCGGCAGGAGCCAATAGTGGGGCTGAACCATGCTCCGCTATGTTTTATGGACATAGAGAGTGGGGTGCGGGAGCGTGCACGCACCAGTGCCCCTATAGCAAGCGGCTTGGTAGTGGGGCAGGGAGGAGAAGCCAGAAGCGCCAGCAAGGAGACCCCGAAAAGAGGAAGATCGGGGTTGCTTTGTGAAAAACCACTAAACAGTTAAGTATGACATGTTTGGTATTTTTTTTTCTTTTAAAAATTTTACCTTCAATATCACTCTAAACTTGGAATGCAAGTGAGCAACATGTGTGTTGTGCTCTCCTCTTTGATACAGGTTAGTCACACTTTGTTTATGCTATCTTAGTGCAGTTTGAGTTTTATTCTGATATTCACCTTCTCTGTTTACTATCCTATATGTTAGTAATGGTAACTCTAATACAAATTGATGCACTTTTCCATGTTGTCTGCACTGCCACTATAAAGAAAGTAATTTTATATATACTGTAATGTGATCAATTACTCTTTTACTCATTAAACTCAGAATGCAAGTGTGCAACACGTGTTTTATACTTTCACTTTGACACAGATACTGCAGGCTGCATCTTTGTCATACCTCACACTCAGATCACCGATAGTCCTGTAAAATGAGCTTACCTGATTTCCATTAATGTTATAGTTATGTTTAATTGCATAAACCTTAGCAACAGAAAAGGCCACAGCAAATCCAACAATAGCAATAGAGAAAGAATTGGCAATGCAAGCTTGAAAAACAGCTAGACTCGGCGCTGCAGGCGGCTGATATCTGTGGAGAGAAGTGACCATTGTTAGCTTGCCATTGTATTTCTAAGAGGGAGTCCTATGCTTTATGCTTATATGCTCATTTATTTTACCACATTGAGATGAATAAATTGGAAATTAATTTAATTATATATTCTACTAACATCAAATGCAAAACAGTTAAAGATTTGTAATAAGTAAGCAAAAAAGGTTTCTAGTAGACATCCTTTATATTTCAGCTGCGTTTCTTTTAATGTAAATTAGGACATTACAGCTTGAATAACATAGGCAACTTTGGGAACACGTATGCAACTTTTTGTCAGCCTTGCCTTGTGCACTGCTTCAGTTGGCCATTGGGCTACCTACCAGGTCTATCAGATAGGCAGTCGAAGGCCAGCTTAAAGTGTTTGTTTAGCAGATTGACAATGCTGATGATACTTGCAAACATCTGAACTGCTGATAGCACAACATAACAGGTACCCCCACTTTCCCTGTACGGGGATATTTTTCCTTTTTAGCACTCCCAGTTCTCATAAAACTGGGGCCTTCTAGAATTCAATTTCTGATACGCATCCCATGGTCGAGAGCCCCATCCTTCCCTCTGCTGGCTCTTAGCTGTCGTTGTTACCTAATAAGGTTGCCCATCACAATGATTGGCCAACACTGAAGCTTAAAGTGTTACTAAACCCAGGACCCTGCATTCACTATAGCTGATCTCCCACAGCACACAGAAAAAGGAAATGCAATTATTTTAGTAAATATAAACTGCTAAATACCTTTTCTCATCAGCAGTATATAGCAGTCTTGTGACTTCTATCAGTGTCCAGCAGAGCACTGGTTGAAGCTTGTAACAGGAGTTTTCATTCTCCCCTGGTTTTCCTATGAGGCTGCATGACCCCAGACCCTCTGTCTGGAGTGCGCTAATGGGCCCTGTGCTGATCACATGCACCCTCCCAAGAAAAAAAACCCTCTAGCAATACACACCAAACTGAGCATGTGCGGCTTGCCCCCCAGGCTCGGTTCTATCAGCAGATGGATTGGGGATGGTAGAAGAAGGGGAAGATCAGAGAAGACAGGAGCAAGCATCCTTTTTACACAATGCGGAGGATTAACTCATTAGATTCCATAGTGAGTATAACCAGCATGCTTTACTGCATATACAGGCTGACTTTACTGTTGTAGGTTTAGTAACACTTTAAGAGGTTTGAGGGACAGGGGTCAGGTTTACAAATAAAAAGTTGGAAGTGCTAAAAAGGAAAAGCCTTTAGCAAGTTAGTGTTTGACGTGGCTGAGAACCTGAGCCAGCTGTGCCCACCACTCCCCAGAGTAGAGAGCAGTGACTGACACTTACTGCTGTCTGTTCCAAGCAGACTAAGAGCTGAGCAATCAGTGGGCATTTGATTGGTTCTCTGTCTAAGGTTGCATTCCCACTTCAGCATTTTGTAGGTTGAGGCTCAAAGCTATAAAATGCTCAGACTTAAAAATATTTTTTTCTCTTTGGTGCCTGCTCACACCTGATAGTGCAATTAAGTGTGAACAGGCACCATAAGGAACAATTGATTTTTTAAGTTTGAGATTATTTGTAGTTTCGAGCTTCAAGCTCCAAAATGCTTAGGTGTGAATGGAGCCGAACAGCCAATGTTGAACAGCTGCAGCATTGAGGTGTGTATAGCTTTTTTTTTTTTTTTGGGGGGGGGAGGAGGGGTCATAACCCTATACCTGTCCTTTAAAATTTACCATTTAAAAAAAATTTACGTTTATAATATAAATGTAATCAATATCTTTCCAAGGATTTCAGGAAAACAATCAGAGAAGGTCAAATTAGGCAACTGTTTCCCAGCCACAAACCTCTTCCTCACAGTTTTCATCTTTTTTTTATGCTATACGGCTATGTGTGGGTCTTAGATTGTAAGCTCCAAGGAGCAGGGCCCTCCTAACCCACTTGTATTGAACTGTATTGTTGCTGTATTGTCTCCCTTTATATTGTAAAGCTCTGAGCAAACTGTTGGCGCTATATAAATCCTGTATTATAATAATATAATAATATACATGGATGTGCCTGTTCCATACAAATGCTGAAGGAGTGTGCTGGGGGAAACCATCTTTATGTGTTTGACAGACTTCTGGGAAATTACAATTGATACATTTTTTTGATGAAAGATATCGCTGTGATCTGAGGCATATAAGAAAAAAATTGAAACATTTTATTTGATAAATATAAAAAAATAATAAGATTCTTACCCTTTCTGTATAGTTCCTACAACATTAACATTGTACTTGACTTTAAAGTTAAATGCATAGGACACACCAGCAGCAATAATTGTCTGCAAGCATAAGAAATATTAGAATACAATTAATTAAAAACTAACATTGTTTAACCGAGTGAATGTTAGATCAGTGCTAGATTAAACTGTATGGATGTCCCTAGTAGTCAAAACTTTGGGCCCCCCCTGCAGGTTTCTTGAGGTGTGTGTATACTCTAGTGGGATAACATTGAACTAAGTAGTGTGCAGGTTGGTTGCTAGATGGAGCTGATCATCACTATGGCATATTACAGGTACGTAGGTCGCACCAACATTTTTTTACAAACTGACAGCTGAATGAATATGAGCTTTTAGGAGGCAAACTGTAATGTGAACCTGATGTCTATGGTTTATGTACTTTATGTACTCCATGAAAACATTTTTTCCCATGCAGTGGGGCTGTGCTCTTTTTGTCCAGGGGTGAGGACAGCAGAGGTATACTTACCTAATCTGCTGATCCTCCCAACGCAAGACCATTCCCTGCTGTTCCTGCCCCCTGCGATTTAGCGATTCTGTGCGGAGGATTGTTTATGACATCATTACGCTTATAGACCAGCTCTGGAAGAGAGGATGGCAAGAACAGTCCACCATCGGACATGGGGGAGTGCTGGTTTCCAAACGAATGAAGGATTATGTGTGTATAAGCTCTACATTCACCCCTAGACAAAACGAGCAGTTAACCCATGCAGTGCGGGCACAGCCCCACTGTATGGGACTAAAAGAAATTTCTGCTTTAAAGCGGAATTTTACTACAACTTCACTACATCTAAGAACCACAAATCAAAACAGCTATTTAATTCATTTTTAATATTCAAAGAAAACTCCCCCATCCATCCATGTCTCCATGCTTTATTTTGCTGAGAAATCACTCAGAAAAAAACACCCCCTAGCAGTTCTGGCTGTGGCCATCTTGAATAAGGGCAGTAGCATTTACTTCCTGGAATCCATCTTCCCTTAGTTTAGGCATGCAGACAGGGCGGGTGTGCTTAACTGACAAAACCCTTCCTCCCCATCTCCACTTCTGAAGACTCCTGGATTGTATGGCATAATTTGCCTTGGCATGGAAACAAGGACATAACTGAAAAATTGTTTAAAAAAGTTTAAAATATGTAAATATCATATAGTTTCCTATCTATTTACTAATGCTAGCAGCAAAAGGATTAAAAATATTCAGTGTTGATTGGAAGAGTGAAGCTCCGCTTTAAGTTGTTATTGGGTATATTACAATAATACAGTATTTTTTCTATAGTCTTTAAAGTAAAGTTTTCATTTCTTGAGTTGATTCATTTTTACTATCTTTTGTAAAAATTTTAAGAAAGCTTTGTTGTAATTTTCTTTCTAGATCAAATCAATGTGATTTTGATCCATTGTTGCAGGGCCCTTAAATGGCATGGGGCTCATCCAGCACTGTATTAGAATTATATTTAGAAAACCAATTACAGGTGTACCTCAGTTTACGAATGCCTCGGTTAATGTAATTTTCAGTTTACGAATGAAAATCCATTGAAAATAATGCCTCAGTTTATGAATTTTTTTCGTAATACAAACAAATTAATTGGTTTTCAATGCATTTAAATTTTTTTTTAATCATGTCCCTGTACAGTATTATGCTTTTAAAGTGCACTTTATAAAGAGTTTTGAACAGATAAGACTTTTTTTTTTTCTTTTTTCTGACCTCCGAAACGGATTAATTGGTTTTCAATGCATTTACAATTTTTTTTGAATCATGTCCCTGTACAGTATTTATGCCTTTAAATTGCACTTTATAAAGAGTTTTCAACAGATAAAAGACTTTTTTTTAACTTTTTTTCTGACCTCTGGAACGGATTAATTGGTTTTCAATGCATTCTCATGGGAAACCGCGTTTCGGTTTACGAATTTTTCACAATACGAAAAGTCCCACGGAATGCATTAAATTCATAAACCAAGGTACACCAGTATATAGGCAACTGAAGTTTATATTTCCATGCATTTAATTTTTGCTGTATGTGACTGTCTAGCCAGGGTGTGGAGATATCAGATATGCTTGCATGCTCCATGATCATTTTATCACTTAAAGTGTTTTTCTCTCAGTGTCAGGTAAACGTGTCAGAAGAGACTCATGCTGATAACAGAGGAATAAGGGAGCAGACAGCACCACTTTAAAACAACTTTAAAGAGTCTTTAAACTCAAGAACAAAAATGTTACAAAATGTAGTTTACCAGTTCATAGTCTTCTGTTTCTCAGACTTATTTCCCTTTATTTTCTCCTAGTGATCCTGCCAATACACACTTCCTGTGCTAGGATGACAACACTCCCTTAATGTACTGTATCTATGGAGGAAATACATTGTCACCCTAGATTGCTCCCTCCTAATTTTGACCACAGAACCCACCCATATCTATAACATAGAGTAAGGTTTTTTGCAGTTCACAAAGATGAACTGGGCGGGGCTGAGAAGACTGCTTGTCTTGACGTCTGGCAGGATCAACAGGTATTTGTTTTTTTGCCCTGTTGACTAGATATATCAAAATTCTTTCAATGGTATACTTATCAGATCAAAAGGGAAAAAATATAAGTTCATTGTTAGAATTTACCTAACTTTACTTTCTCTTATCTGCACTGCTTCTTTATGAGATATTTATTTCATAAATTGGACTTACCATAATGATCTCTATAGGAATTGGCACAGGTAATTTTGACTTGTAACGGGCATTAAGTTCTTTCACAACGTAAACACAAATCATTATTATGATTGCTATGACAAGATCAGCAATATTGGTCTTTGTGATTTGGGAAAATATACTCTTTAATGCCTACAAAGTCCAATAGATAAAATAGTTAATAATCTAAAAAGAACACAGACTAGATGTAGGAAAGGCATATAATATTTACAAGTACATTATTACCATACAAGAGCCTCTGAAATTTTATAAAACATATGTGGTCGTGAATTACTACTGAAAGAGCATCAGAATAATCTGTCCTTACTACTGATTTACGCTACTAATTCATTATTTATAAAAGTGCTCATGCACCAAAAATATTGCAGCAGTCCTATACTTGTGTTAAATTCCACAATGCATATAAATTAAAAACCAGGTGGAAAGCGTATAAATATAATCATGTGCCTATATACAACACAACTAAAAAAAAGTCCTAAATTAGTGAAGGTGCTTGTGCTCAGCTTAATTGCAATATCTTGGTTCATCAATCATCTAAAGAGTGCTCCACTGTGCTCGACAAAGTGCCCCACATGGACTATCACTCACCCTTAGCCAATGACCATCTATCTCTAGAGTGGTCTGTAACGCTTTAAGGACAATTCCCAATGAGCCAGTTGTCTCCAGACCTCCACGAGTTGGAATAAGCATATCACCACAAAAAAAGGAAAAAAAAGAGGGTATCCCATAGTGTAAAACTGTTTGGTAGTTTTATTGGGGGTAAATCTGTTAAAACTTCACTCACAAGTAAAATGCCTGTGCCTGGCACCTGGTGTACTCAGCCTTGTTACTCCTAATTACATAGAAGCCGCTGTGCTAGACACTCCTTGGAGCGGCATGCGTTCCACAGGGCAGAAGTGACATCGGAGGAAGTTGCATCATCAAACCTCGACGCGTTTCAATCAAAGAGTACTGCCTGAAGACAATCTTTGATTGCAACGCGTTGAGATTTGATGACGCAAATTCCTCCGATGTCACTTTCGCCCTGTGGAATGCGTGCCTCTCCAAGGAGCGACTGCCAATAAGGAGGGAGACACCCAGGACAACCGAGGCTCTCGTGCACATCTCTGGATTGAGATGGGGCTCAGGTAAGTTTTTGGGGGAGGGGGCTGCTGCACACAGAAGGTTTTTACAAGCACTTTAAAGCAGAGTGTATCTATTAACAAGACCATTGAGACTGAAATCTAGATATTTATTGCACCTTTCATAAGAAGAACTATTGATCCTGTGTGAACAGGTGATAATTGTTATTTCATGGACAATGACACTATTAGCAGCGTAGTACAAATAATAAGGAATGCAATGCTATGTGGTCACATAAATATCTACCTTTAAAACATTAAATAGCAGTCCATCAACTAAGAGGATAGCACCTGTGCATACAGCAGTTCATGTAATTAACACGCCCATTAGAGTGGATTAGCATGGAAGAGTAATAAGAAACTGATAGTTTCCTGTTTGACGATCCCTGAAAACCATTCTCTTTGAGCCTGTGTTCACATATGTGCAGTGCGGTATATCACATGTGATTCACACAGGAACCACACTGCATTCCTGTGCAAATCACATGTGATTTGTGTTCGGTGCGATTGGATGACTCTATTCGCACCACACCAAAAACGTGCAGGACCCTTTTTTGGGTCCGCACTAGCATCGGATCACATCAGTATTCACACCTATGCGATCCGATTCTGCACATCACACCGTGTTTTGCGGACTGCTTTCAGGGTGTTGTTAACTTAACATACACACCCGCAGCAGTTCACATGAACAGGGTGCGATTCTGATGCAGTGTGGAATTTGCACTGAAAACGCTGCAAATTCCGCACCGCATCAGTGTGAAGAAAGCCTATCCTGCTTCTAACTATTAAACTGCCTTTTATTTCTTCCATCAGATCATCCCCCCACAGCTATTACCTTTTGTATCACTCAGCCCTTCCTCCTAGATTGTAAGCTCTAATGAGCAGGGTACCTAACTCCAGGCATTTTGTTTATTTCATACCCTCTTGGAGAAGGGGAAAGGTTAGAGCCTCTGTCATGTTTTTATTACCCTCTGTGATGTGACCTACTGAGGAGATTCCTCTTCCCCTCCTTTTAGAACTACAAGTATAGTACAGGACTTTCACAAAAAAAAGTGAACATCTGTCATTATAATTGTACAATACCAGCCATACTTACATAAAAATTGGACAGTGGCCCACTAGATGAAGGAATTTTAACTCCAAAAACATATTTTAATTGTGACACCACAACTTCAATTGCTGCAGCAGTTGTGAAACCATTAATTAAAGGTTCCGACAAATATATCACTATGAAGCCAATTCGTAGAAGTCCTAAAGCCAACTGCAAAAAAATATAACATTACCAGCATTATATGTTAATTCAACTAAAACAGAAATATAAAATGGAAAAAAAAAAAAACTAAAAACATAAAATATAATGTTTGTAATCTTACAAACATACATTTCACTTATATGTACCCATACTGCATAACAATACAATATTACTTTGTGTTCTCTTTGTTCTTACATATATTAACCTTAAATTTCACAGGCATAACATTCTTTTTTAATATGGAGCTTAAAGTGACACTAAACTCTTGTTGAAATAAAAAAAATCTATTCAAATATGTATTCTTAAAGTGGAAGTTCAGTCAACAGCTAACTAAAACTAAACCTACTCCCACCCCCATTCTAAGACTGTTGGATCTAACCCTGTAAAGAAATACCTTCTATTGCTCTCAGTCTCCTCCAAATATCAAAATTACTTCCTTTTTTTTTTTTTTTGCAATGATCTGACTCCCTGTTCCTTTCACACTAGTGGACGTATCCTTTTTTTTCAGGTGGACCCAAATGGACCCTCCATTCACCTCTATGGAGTGGCGGGTGTAAATTATCATGTCTCCGTTTATACCCAGTTACATTCAATCTGATCCAATCCACTAAAAACAGATAGATGGGGATCTTTTCCCCTTCTGTCTAGCGCATCGAATGGCAGTTGGGTGTAAATGGACAGGTGGTTTGTTTACATTTCGGCTAGAGAGAAAAGCAGGCTGTGTCTACTTTGCATAAGCGGAACAGACACAAACCAGCTAACTGCCTGCTCGGTGAGGTTCAGTAGATAGATCCCCCGCTGAGCAAGTGGACTGCTGGCGGAGTCTGCACTGTGAGAAAGGGGCCTTCGAGAGTGGCTACGTTTATTCTCCATTGTCCCACTGTATGTAGAAAGTCACCCTCTATTGCCCACTCTTGAGATGGACTATGGTCTATGGGATTTGCAGTATGCATAGAGCAGTGCACATGACCACAACTAACCTGCACTACTTGTTCCAAACATATGGAAGTGGGAGGGGGGAGGGAGGTTCAGGAGCTCATTGAGGACATTACAAGGAGGTTTAAAAAAACAGAAATAAATTATTTTATGAAAAATAGATTACAGGTCCATTAAGTAGTGGATGTGTATTGATTATTTTTGGAGAATAAGGATATTGTTTAAGAAAATCCCTTAGATTTTGGCACTGCTAAAATGATGTGTCACGTGACAACCCTGATGGAGTCCTTTGGTGGCTCCGAAACATCACTATGTTGTTTTAACGTGAAAAATAAAGAAGCTAATATATTATATACAGGTGTGTTGATGATGAACTCTAGTCACCTGTACCTTCATAAAAGACCTGTTTACCAAGTACTGTATAATTATTCTTTTGCGGGCTTCTGTGTATGTTGCTTAAACAGTATTTTCAATTTTGCAGTCAAATTAAAAAAAGAAAAAAAAAAACCTATCACTATATGTTTGTTGTATATAGGGTATGTGTTCCCATTAATAAAGCATGCCTAAAAATTCTCTTTTATTTTTATTGTTTGAATGCCATTAACAAGAACAATGGCCACAACATTTGGCCAACAAGACAAAACAAAAATGTCAATATACAGTATGTTAGTATAGGCTGGGAGAGATCGCACGGTGCTGGTTCTAATGGTGTATATTAAGACACATTTGATTGGATGGATGTTGGAGTAGTAGGCAGCAAGCAAAGGGAAGAGGGGGAGGCCTCAATGTTTAGATTAATAAGTCCAATTCAATTGAAGAGGGGTGTGGAATGTCAATTGGAGGATCATTGATTAACATTAGATGCCATTGAGTGTATTGAAAGCATTGCAATACAGATTGTTGAATTTCTACTGGTAAGGTTTGATTGAAGGATTCCCAAATGTTGAAGAAATTTTGAAATCTCAATTTCCTATGCAAGGAGGCCTCCACCCATTCCATGCGAAAAACGTAGGACAATTTAGCTATGAATAAAGAGATAGTAGGGGTTTTCATGCCACAAGGGACATGATAGTAAGAAGTTGCTTGCAGTCCCTTGAGATCCCATTCAGACATCAGAGGCAGGTAGTTTACTAAGTATGTAGTAGCATAGTGCACTACAGAGTTCCAAAAAAGGAAAAATCCCAGGGCAAGACCAAAAAGCATGGAACGTGTCCGCATCTAATTGTTTACATTTTAAGCAGTGAAAATAGGCACTTAGGCCCACAGGTAGGAAAGATGCGGAAATATTGCAGAGATAGTGTATATAAGAGTGATGGAAAAGTCGAAGCATCATTTCACGGTACATTGTGTCTTTGATTGTGCCCCCTAACAAATGCAGTAATTTTAGAAAAGCATTAAGCAAAAGCTGAGGGGAATTCTTCTTCCATTTGTTAAGACCAGCTGGTGAAGAGGAATAGTCCAGCAGTTGTATGAAAAAATTGTATAGAATGGAAATTGCTTTTTACCTGGGTTAGAATGTCCCAGTAGTGTATCCAAAGAACTTCCTCAATCCTTCTAAGACTATCTTTTTTTAATAGATTTCAATGTATGATCTCATTTGTAAAAATAGAAATGGATTATTAGATAAAGAAGGACATTTCTCTAGGGCTACATTGAAAGAAAGTAGTTATTTGTTGTTGACATCCACTAAAAATTTGATATGGCAAAGACCTTCAAGATGCTACTGCTTAAGAGTAGGAAGGCCAAAAAATTCCTGGAAGTCTTCATTGTTCCATATAGGACGGAAAGACATGCATGGCTGTTTAAAAAGCAATATGTGCATATTTTATGCCATGCCAACCAGTATAAGAGGGGATTGTCTGTCACGCTTTATTTATATAAAGAATATCAAGTTGTTTTGGAGGGTTATATTTTGATCAAGTTCAATGTTCATGTACATCGAGGTGCCATGAATCCAGTCCTAATACCTAGTTAAAAATGCTAAGTTGTACAGTTCCAGGTAAGGAAAATTACGGCCACCTTACTGGGAGGTTGTTGTATGATACGTAGACCTATTGTTGCTTTCCTGCTGCCACAAATTCTCAAGACATCTTATCAACATATTTAAGTTCAGAGTTTTTGGGGAGTAGAGGGAGGACATGCATTGGGTAAAAAAGTTTAGGAAAGGCTACCATTTTTATTAGGATTAGTCTACATTTATAGGAAATATTAAAGTGCATCCAGGAGGCAAGGGATGCTTTTAGGGAGCGTAGCAGGGGAGGAATATTGGTCTTATATAGGTTATGGGGATTTTACGGTATGGATACTCCTAGGTAATAAGTCCTTTTCTCTGCACCAGATAAAATTATACGGATTGCTCATAGGGTGGTTAAGGCAGTTAGTTAAATAGAGTGTTTTTGATGTAACAACGTTGATGCTGTAACCAGAAATTAGGCAAAGAGAATTAATAATAGGCATTGTATTGAGAAGAAATACTCTGGATGTGAAATAAAAAGGAGCAGGTCGCCAGCAAAAGCAGTGATTTTAATTGTTTTGTGGCCTATGGTTTTGCCTTCAAAAGTGGGTTGAGTCTCAAGCAGGCAAAGTAAGTGTCCAGTGCAAGGGTAAAAGAATGGGAGAAAGGGGGCAGCCTTGCTTGGTGCCTCTGGATATTGGTATTGGGGAAGAGAATTGATTATTGGTAATTAGTTTGGTATGCAGTTATGATATAGATACAGTATATTGTATGAAAGAGGAGAAAACATCCAAAAACCCTAGTGGAGAAAATTAAGAGGGACCAGTTTATTTAATCAAGGGGAGGGGGGCAAGAAGAAGAATGTTGTTTTGCTTGGAATGTAGCTGCAATTGGTGCTCTGATACCCATGGTGGAGTGCTTATTATAAAGGAAGCCTAACTGGTGAGGGGGTGAACAATGTTGGCATATGGGATTGGATGCAATCTGCCATGATTTTAGCTAGTAGTTTGTAGTCTGTGTTTAGTAACGATAGAGGTCACTACAAGTGAACAGATTCAGGGTTTGTCTCTGGTTTCAAAGTAAGGGTAGTGTATGCTTCATTACATTTAGCATATGGGGTGTTATGTTCAAGAATGGAGTTGTAGAGAGCTATGAGTACTGGGGAGAGGTCTGCACACCGTCCAGGGGTTTTATTGTTGGCTGAATCTTTAATGGCCAGTTGAATTTCCAAAGATGTAATTGGGAAGTTTTTAATGTTTATTGGAGGTATGTTTTGGTAAGCAAGCTTGGTCTATCAGTTGCTGAAGTAGGGATGGTTGAGAGATTTGGGCAGTGTAAAGATGGGTATCATAATGCTAAAAGGCTGAAACTATAGACTGTCTGTTTCTGGTGCTAGTTTGGAGGCTGGGATCTGTTATTTTGAGAAAAAATACTTTTTAGATGTTCCTAGGAGAAAGTGTCAAGGAGGATTGAAACACTGTGTTCAAATCTAGTTTTCTTGTTTACAACTGATAATGAGACCTGCCAGAACAGTACATATCAGGTTAATTATGGCAAAAACAATTCCCTGGCACCTCTCATAAACAAACAGAACTATGTATGATTTTTCTGTAGGATCTAAAAAGATAAGCTGCATTTTTTTAAACTTATACTATGTTAATGGGAACATAAAAATTCCCTATGCAAAGTGTACCTTCCTTTGTAAAGTGAACAGTGAATTTGCTTTTAGTAAACCAACCCAACTGTCTCTGCTGGGGAGAGTCAACTCCCTTGTGAATCCTAGTTACTATTGACACTAGGACCAAAAATGAAGGAAAAAAAAACTAAGTTTAATTTTTCTCTAGAAAAGGAAGAGAGGGGAATTGAAGGGAGATTTCTACAAAGGGAACAGAGGGCAAAAGGGAAACAGAGAGCCAAATTTTGGAGGGAACAGAGGGCAAAAGTTTGAGTTGTCACCAGAAAAGGAAGAAAGGGTAAATCTTCCCATGGGCATCTGTCTAAGAGGTGATTTTGCTCACTTTGAAGAGATTTCCTCTTCATTACTGTTGTACCTAAGGGACAGGAATTGAAGGGAGATCTCTACAAAAGGAACAGAGGGCAAAACAACTGAAAGGTGTTTTAGCCATTCCATATTCTACTTTGAACGTTTTGCAATACATACATTTGAAGTTAGCCTATTCTAAGATTGGTTGTGGATCAGCAGCTGATCTAGCAGGCAGATTTTAATACGGTTCATACTTGGAAGTCATTGTTTTATGACCATACAGACCTGAATAATTCCAACCAGAAACGTTAGAGATGCTGCTACAATGATACGTTCATCATTCAGTAAATCTTCAGCTGTAGAGTTAGTAATACTGGAGTTTGTATTTCCAAACTTATCTTCAGGTACAAGTGTAGCTACAACTGAGCCAACCATCAGGCTCACGACAGGGAAAGGGCCTAAACAGATAAATCATGATAGAATTTATCACACATTTCAACTTGTGTATTATCTATTTATATAATATACTGTTTACCTACTACTATCATCACACATCTCTAATATTATGTTGTCATGTAACTTACCTGCTGATATATGTCTGGAAGTTCCTAGGAAAAAGTAGACTACAACTGGGAAGAATGATGTATATAATCCATAGCCAGGCGAGACATTTGCGAGGAGTGCATAAGCCAAACCTTAAACACAAACACAAGTTACATTTTTAAAAATGTGTTACAAGAGTTCTAAATCAAGGCTGTATTGCTGAGAAAAAAAAACTGCCTGCCTGTAACTCATGCACACAACTATCCTGACCACTGAAACTACAAAATGAAAAGTAGTTAAAGATGTCTTTACATGTGCCAGGCAATTGTCACTGCAATGCCTAACAGCTGTATTGCTGAAATGTCTTCATTTAAAGGATAAGTTCACCTTTACCAAAAAACAATAAATGTACATATATTGGCAGCAAAAAATTGTGCATTTATTATTCCACTCCCCAGCTACTTTATTAGATACACCTTGCTAGTACTTGGTTGGACCCCCTTTTGCCTTCATAACTACCTTCATTCTTCGTGGCATAGATTCAACAAGGTGTTGGAAACATTACTCAGAGATTTTGGTCCATATTGACATGATAGCATCACGCAGTTTGTCAGGAAAGGCCTGCCCATAGTGCAGGTGAAGATCCACGGTGCACAAATATGTGCATGTGCAGAGTTATAGCGAACCGGGCAGATGTGCGGGTGCTTGGGCATAGGCGTGCACACATGTGCGCATGCATGTGCACTCGCGCATCCAGGCACGTCTGTCACTAATGCTGGCACCAAAGGGGTTATTTAAACTGGATGCAGTAAATGTCTCATTGCCGTTTGGTCTTATCCCTGCTTCTGTTCCCTGATTCCTGTGATGGACTCCTTATACCGGACCAGCTTGTTCCTGACCTCCGCTTGACCGCTACCTGCCCTGACCTCTGGCTCGCCTTGGATTACCCTTCTGTCTCCCGCTCCTATCTAATTGATCTTCAGCTGCTGACCTGGCCTGTGGCCTGACTACTCTTCCTCCTGCCATTTATGCCTGATCTGCTCGACCGCTACTGAACCCATCTCGTGTGACCCTGCATCCTCAAAATGCATCCATCCATCCAGCACGGCTGCATCCGGATCCTGCTCCCTGCCTTCAGCCTGCCCTGCAGTTCACCTCCCTACCAGATACTACTGGACTGATCACAGGCACTCATACCCAACCGTGTAGCCGCTGTCTCACCATCAGCAGTCTTTGAGCCAGAATTGTACGGGAGGCCTGCCTCTTCACATCAGGCTCACTATCCAGGTACGTGACACAGTTGCTGCAGATATGTTGGCTGCACATCCATGATGCAAATCTCCCATTCCACCATATTCCAAAGGTGCTCTACTGGATCTGGTGACTGTGGAGGCCATTGGAGTACGGTACAGTGAACTCATTGTCAAGTTTAAAAAAACAGTTTGAGATGATTTGAGCTTTGTGACATGGTGCATTATCCTGCTTGAAGTAGCCATCAGAGGATGGGTACACTGTAGTCATAAAGGAATGGACACGGTTAGCAACAGATAGGTCGTGGCATTTAAACGATGCTCAATTGGTACTAAGGGATCCAAAGTGTGTCAAGAAAATATCCCCACACCATTATACCACCACCACCACCCCCGACCGTTGATACTGTACAAGGCAGGATGGATCCGTGCTTTCATGTTGTTTATGCCAAATTCTGACCCTACCATCTGAATGTCACAGCTGAAATCAAGACTCATCAGACCAGGCAATATTTTTCCAATAAAATTCAACCAAAAAACACTTGCGCTGAATGCGTGCATTAATAAATGAAAAAATTACTTTAATAACTAACATAAAATAGTGATTAATAAACACTAATGCCACCTTAAATCAAATATACCATGCATAGATAAATGAACATTAATAGTCCAGTGGCGCTGTGATCAACAAATAACAAAACAATCATGTGATATATATCAATCAATTAAAATAAAGTCCATTGTGATACGTGGATATCTATGTCAATACGAATCAATACATGAGGGGTTCGAAGGCCCTGCTCCTTGGAGCTTACAATCTAGGAGGGAGGGGATAGTGGTACAGGAGGAAATAGCTGTGGGGGGATGGAGTGGTAGGAAGAGTGGAGGAGTTCAGTAATTAGCTGAGGGCGGGGTAGGCTTCCCTGAAGAGATAGGTTTTCAGAGTGCACCTAAAGGTGAGGAGAGTAGGTGATAGTCTGATGGATTGGGGTAGGGAGTTCCAGAGGATGGAGGAAGCCCTGAAGAAGTCCTGGAGACGGGCATGGGAGGAAGAGACCAGGGAACTAGAGATTAGGAGGTCTTGTGAGGAGCGGAGAGTACGTTTTGGGTGGTATTTGGATATCAGATAGGTGATGTAGTTTGGGGCAGTATTATGAACAGCTTTATACGTCAATGTTAGTATTTTGAATTTTATCCGTTGGGCAATCGGAAGCCAGTGGAGGGATTGGCAGAGAGGGGTGGCGGATATGGAGCAGTTAGTAAGGTGGATGAGTCTGGCTGCAGCATTCAAGATAGACTGAAGCGGGGATAGCCTGCGGTGAGGTAAGCCAATGAGGAGGGAGTTACAGTAGTCGAGGCGTGATATAATGAGGGAGTGAATGAGTTGCTTAGTGGTTTCCGGGGTTAGGAATGGACGTCTTTTGGAGATGTTGCGAAAGTGAAGTCTACATGTCTACATGAGTTTGTCAGTGATTGGACCTGGGGCTGGAAGGACAGGTTGGAGTCTAGAATGACGCCTAGTACTCTGGCTTGAGGGGAGGGACTGGTGGTGGTGTTGATGGTCTTGATGGAGAAGTCGGGGGGGGGCGGGCTGGGGGGAAAACTAGGAGCTCAGTTTTGGAAAGATTTAGATTGAGGAAGTGGAATGACATCCAGTCCAATATGTCGCTCAGTAGGCTTGTGATACGGGTGGAGACTGAAGGGGTGAAGTGAGTGGTAGAGAGATAGATTTGCGTGTCGTCGGCATAGAGATGGTAGTTGAAGCCGTGAGAGTGTATCAATTGGCCAAGGGAGGAGGTGTAGATGGAGAAGAGAAGGGGCCGAGGACAGAACCTTGTGGGACCCCAACAGAGAGGGGGAGTGAAGAGGAGGTGGCAGCGTTATAGGTAACACAGAAGGAGCGCTGTGATAGATAGGAAGAGAGCCAGGAGAGAGCGGAGTCTCTGAGGCCAAGAGAGTGTAGTTTTTTGATGAGGGAGGGGTGGTCAACCGTGTCGAAAGCCGCAGAGAGGTCGAGGAGTAGGAACATTGAATAGTGGCCATTAGCTTTGGCGGTTAGCAGGTCGTTGGCGAGTTTGAGTAGGGCAGTTTCGGTGGAGTGTAAGGGGCAGAAGCCAGACTGTAGGGGATCAAGGAGGTTGTTGTCGGTGAGGTGGGAACTCAGGCGATTATAGACTAAGCGCTCTAGGAGTTTGGATGTAAATGGCAGCAGGGAGATGGGTCTAAAGTTGTTTAGGTCGGTGAGATCCAGGGAGGGTTTTTTAAATATGGGAGTGATGTGCGCGTGTTTTAGAGGGGAGGGGAATGTGCCAGTAGAGAGGGAAGAATTAAAGATGTGCGTGAGGGAGCGTGGATGGATGGAGGAGGAAGAGGGTGATCGTAGAAGTTGTGAGGGGAGGGGTCAAGGGGGCAGGTGGTGAGGCGGGCTTCAGAGAAGACCTTAGTGACCTCTTCAGTGGTAGCGAGGTCGAAGGAGTGGAGTGTTGAGGGGATTTTAGGGTGAGGAATGCTAGGTGGGGTGGAAATCTGGGCAGTGGGTCGCGAGGTCGAGGGAGTGGAGTGTTGAGGGGGTTTTAGTGTGAGGGATGCTAGGTGGGGTGGAATTCTGAGCAGTGGCGATGTCCTTACGAATTGCGTCGATCTTGTTTTTGAAGTGGTTAGCAATCTCGTGGGCAGTGAGTGAGGTACTGGGTGGAGGTGGGGGCGGAGAGAGTAGAGAGAGTTAAAAGTAGAGAAGAGCCAGCGAGGACTGGAGGAGAAGTTATTAATGAGGGTAACAAAGTAGGCTTGCTTGGCAGTGTGAAGGGAGGAAGTGTAGGTTAGGAAGACAGATTTATATCGGGTGAATGCTTGTTGGGATCTGGTTTTGCGCCATAATCGCTCCAGCGTCGTTTGAGATTTTTGGTATGGTCAGGGGTCTAATGCTACGTGTAGTTGGGGGTGCTAGTGAGTCTAGAGCGGCTGATAGCAAGTTGTTATAAGCAGTAGTGGCCAGGTCAGGGCAGGACAGGGGAAGGATACTGTCGTAAAGTTGGTCAGCAGCAGAGTGGAAACGGGCAGGGTTCAAGTTGAGGGGTAGGTTGCTGCTGGTGATGGTTTAACATTTGACTTTTAAAATGATATTTCACCACATCATTGGTAGATTAGCATATAGCATATTACACATTTACTCTCAACAGGAGTTATCATTAAGACCTGAATATTAGCAATAGGGAGGGTTACATAAAGTGGTGACAATAGCCTCTTAATCAACTCATCATAATCAATGCAATAGTACAACGCAAATATATACGCTTTAGAAATGGACACATAATTTCCAATACATAGAATACATAGGGTATTAGAATATTACAATAAATAGAATAAAATAAAATTATCATAAACTAAAAAAATGTATAAAATGTACAATATAATTATATAAAATAAAATAAAAAGTTAAAATATGATTAAAATAAAACTAAATCAGCCAGAAATTCCCCATAAATACATGCTTATAAATTACTAATAAAGCAATTAATATTCAGATCAATATTAAGGCCACTTGGTGCCAAAGAATGAAGCAAATAGATCCACTTAGTTTCCCTCTTGAAGAGGTGCCTCACCCTATTGGACCCCCTCCAAGAGGGTACAACCTAATCTACCTCCCAAAATATCAATTTAGAAGGATCCTTGGCATGGTGATGCAAGAAAAGATCAGATAGACTATGATAGCTGTATCCTTTTCTGATATTTTTCATATGTTCAGCTATTCTAACTTTCAGGGGGCGTTTAGTGCGACCAATATAAATTAACCCACATGGACATTGGAGAGCATATTCCACATGGGTTGTATCACATGTAATGAACTCTGGAATATTGAATTCACGACTTTCAGTTCCAGAGAAGAAGGGACTTACGTGTAGATGGGGGGGGGGGGGGGGGGGAGGGGGGGGTAGTATCTGCAGCCCAACATACTTTGCATTTTTTACATGCTGTAAAGCCCTTTATATAAGGGAACAATGATACCTTCCCAGGGGGATCCAAAAACTACCATCTCACCAAAGTTCCGTGTCCTCCTATAAAGATATTTAATCTCCAAACACAGAAAGGTTTCTTCACAGTGAGAGCTGTGGAGAGCTGTGAAAATGTGGAATAGACTCCCTCAAGAGTTGGTTCTGGCCAGCTCAGTGGATTGCTTCAAAAAAGGCCTGGATTCTTTCTTAGATACACAGAATATAACTGGATACTAACATTTATAGGTAAAGTTGATCCAGGGAATATCCGATTGCCTCTTGGGGGATCAGGAAGGCATTATTTTCCCAGCAGGAGCAAATTGGATCATGCAATGCTGTTTTTTTTTACCCTTCCTCTGGATCAACTGTGGGTATAAGATTATAACTTTTTTTTTTTTTTATTGGTTGAACTGGATGGATTTTTGTCTTTTTTCAGCCAGATTAACCATGTAACTATGAAATATTTTAGGTGGAGGGAAGTAAAAATAAAAAAACTAAAATAATACGGCTGCATAAGTGTGCACACCCTCAAACTAATACTTGTAGAAGCAGCTATTGATTTTTATTACAGCACTCAGTCTTTTTGGGTATGAATCTATCAGCATGCCACATCTTGACTTGGCAATATTTGTCCACTCTTCCTTGTAAAAACACTCCAAATCTGTCAGATTGCAAGGGCATCTCCTGTGCACAGCCCTCTTCAGATCACCCCACAGATTTTCAATTGGATTAGGTCTGGGCTCTGGCTGGGCCATTCCAAAACTTTAACCTTCTTCTGGTGAAGCCATTCTTTTGTTGATTTGGATTTATGCTTTGGGTCATTGTCATGCTGAAAAATGAAGTTCCTCTTCATGTTCAGCTTTCTAGCAGAAGTCTGAAGGTTTTGTGCCAATATTGACTGGTGTTTGGAACTGTTCACAATTCCCTCTACCTTGACTAAGGCCCCAGTTCCAGCTGTAGAAAAACAACCCCAAAGCATGATGTTGCCACTACCATGCTTCACTGTGGGTGTGGTGTTCTTTTGATTATGTGCAGCGCTGTTTTTGCGCCAAACATATCTTTTGGAATTATGACCAAAGAGTTCAACCTTGGTTTCATCAGACCAGAACACATTTTCCCACATGCTTTTGGGAGACTTCAGATGTGTTTTTGCAAAATGTAGCCAGACTTGGATGCTTTTCTTCGTAAGAAAAGGCTTCCGTCTTACCACTCTACCCCATAGCCCAGACATATGAAGAATACAGGAGATTGTTGTCACATGTACCACACGGCCAGTACTTGGCAAATATTCCTAAAACTCCTTTAATGTTGCTGTAGGCCTCTTGGCAACCTCCCAGAGCAGTTTTCTTCTGATCTGTTCATCAGTTTTGGAGGGACTTCCAGTTCTTGGTAATGTCACTGTTGCGCCATATTTTCTCCACTTGATGATGACTGTCTTCACTGTGTTCCATGGTATATCTACTGCCTTGGAAATTCTTTTGTACCCTTCTCCTGACTGATACCTTTTAATAATGAGATCCCTCTGATGCCTTGGAAGCTCTCTGCGGACCATGGCTTTTGCTGTAGGATGCGACTTAGAAAATGTCAGGGATCACCTACTAGAACAGCTGAACTTTATTTGGGGTTAATCAGAGGCACTTTAAATGATGGCAGGTGTGTGTACTGACTCCTATTTAACATGATTTTGAATGTGATTGCTTAATTCTGAACACAGCTACATCCCCAGTTATAAGTGGGTGTGCAAACGTATGCAACCACATTATTTTAGTTTTTTATGTTTACCCCTCCCCCCCACCCCCCCAAAAAAAAGATTTCAGTTTGTTTTAATTGAGTTGTACAGTTTATAGGTCACATTAAAGGTGGAAAAAAGTTCTGAAATGATTTATCTTTGTCTCAATTTTTTACATCACAAAAACCTGACATTTTAACAGGGGTGTGTAGACTTTTTATATTCACTGTATGTTTCATAGGATATATTAACTGCTGAATATATTTTAGTGGGAGAAAATTACTGAATTTGAAAATAGAAAATGAATACAAAAGACTAATTTCTTCTATTTTTTGTAAATGCACTATGGCTAATTAAAATACCATGCGGCAAATTTATAAACATTCGCTGGAACATTTGCTACCTGACATATTACTGCACTTTTGCCAAGTGCACATTTTATGACATTTGCCCAAACTTTCTTGTATTTATACTGTATTATGCATAAAAGCACCAGCTTTTAGTAGTTATTGTGATGCTGGAAATGGGGAAGGTTAGTATTTTATTTGCCCCATTTCTGATGTTACTAGCCCAGGACAGCAAGCAGACAGGTTGGTATTTCCAGCCTCTCTGCCTTAAATACATCAACTCACATTGCCTTCAATATTGTCCATGCTTTTTTAGGGGTTCCCAAAAAAATGTGCACCAGACTTGATGCTGACAGTCCAGGGTTCTTCAGCACCCCCTTTTATAAGGAGAGTGGACTTAGGTGTCACCAAACCTATGTACAAGTAGATTGCCACATCCTCTTTAGTTAACAGGTTCTAGGGGTCTTTGTACTGCTGACCCTGTCACTCTGCATACAGCATGATGAATGTGCCTGCAAAAGTTATTGACATTTTTTTTTTTTTACTTGCATATAAAGAGCACTCACCTTGTAATACAGCTACAAGCCCTGTTGTAACTCCTGATATGATGTCACTGAGAATCCACTCCTTAAATCGATAAGCAGGGAGCCAGGAAATAATAGGGAAGAAAGATAAGGCAACCCTCTTAGCTTTCTGAGAGGAACATCTACAATTAAAGTCAAAATGACTAATTTTAGTCAAACATAAATACAGTTTGTGATGACTATAACATAACATAAAAATCATAATGCAGTTACCACAAGGACTTAAAAAAAAACATACTTTTAGCTGGCAAAACAGAACTGTGCCACAATATTTTGAACCACAGAAAACTAAACTAGAGAACAGCTGCAATCCGAATGATGAGTGCATCCATATGTTTGTTTGAGAGGACAGCACTATTAAAAATACTAAATAAACTAAATAAATATACTATGTACAGTCAATCCTATTGCAAATTATAAGTGCAATATTCTATTTATAAAGTGGGCAGCACTACCACTGCTATACTCCTAACATCTATACTAACACACTAAAAACTATATATGTCTTCTTTAAACAATATATACCAATGTGCAAAAATGCTATATGTGAAAAAAATACAAATAATGTCAGTTATTGCAATCAAAAATACAAAAAGTGATATGTGCACTGTGCAAAATCCTAATAAGCAAATACATATAAAATATGTGCAAACAATCATATATCAATAGCGCTGTCCTCTCAAACATGTTTAGTTGATACACATACCAAATGGATAGCAGCTGTTCTCCAGTTTCATTTTTTGGTTCAAAATACTGTGACACAGTTCTGTAATTTTCTTTAAAGCTATAATAACAATTTGGTTAGTAGAACTCTCACTAAACATGGATGTCTTTGGATATATGGATAAGAGAGAAGTGGATTAAGAGGAAGTGTTCACTTCCACCAAAGAAAAAAAACAGGAATTGACTTAGAAACAAACTTGAAACAATTAAAACATCTAATGGAAAAAAATACATTAAAATTTGGTAACACTTTGGAATGTTATATTAGAGAAAAAAAAAATTCACACCAAGGACAATAAGGTGGGATATCCCTTGATGGATAAGGAGTTAATGGATGAATGGTTTTCTTTCTTTAAACTGAAAAGGGAAACTGTTGGAGTTACTTATAAAGAGAAAACAGATTAAATTAAGAAAGGTGGAAGCCAGTATTACACAAATTAAAAGAAATTATGGCACTTTTATCAGATATTAATGATTACAAAGAAAGATCAGTACAGGATTGCATCACTAAGGTGGATAGAGACACCAAAAACTAAAAAGTTAAAAAGTATATTAAAGATTACAAAAATGACAAAGTATGCAAATTGCAGAAGAATCTTGTATCTGAGGATTGCACATTCAAACAGTCAACCCCAGATAGAGAAATAACAGAAAATGAGAATATAGATATGAATAAAGATAAAGACACAAAGAAAGAGACATCTTAGAAGAATACACATAGAGTACAATTTCAGAAAGTATCACAAGTCTCTACCCCAAATAGAAATGGTGGGATTAGAACTCCAGAAAGATCACCTCACAAGTATCAAACAGCTGACTTTTTTTTTTTTAGAGAGAGTTACAAGGGCTCCCCCCAAGAGGTTTTCAGAGAATCAGGGCACTCTATTGGCAAAGGGGAGGCCAACAGAACAGAGGAGGATACCACAACAACAGGGGAGGTTTTCAAGGTTACCACAGGGGGGATGAAATTCAGGCCCAATAGGATACAGACCCCATTGGAGAGAATATGGGACACAGAACAGACATATAGAGAATATAGAAAATGGAGAAGAGGAAAGAGAATTAGAAAGTAAAAGGAAGAGAACAACTATTATTTGAATGCGACTTACTGATACATTGGACATTAGTTGTATTTTCTAATGTTGTTCATTTATTTATTGCACTTTATAGGATATAGGATTCACAGGTGTGGAAGTTAGACACATTTTGAAGACTGCAGGAGCCATAATCACATTCATCTGTGTTTCCTTATTTTTGGTTTCCTTTGGTTTTGCACATGCACAAGTAGCGCTGCACCAACAGGTTTTACATATAGTATCTATAGAGGTATACTGTGGTGACACGTACGCTCAGGGCAGCTGCTGCAATTTCATAGGATAAGAACCCATAGTGCATGCCTCCCAACTTTTGAAATTCAAAATGTGGGGCACTGGAGAGAGGAAGTAACCTGTGCCTTGCGTATCGCGATGTGGCAAAAATGGGTGTGGCCAAATGCTTAACAGAGGGAAGGGCCTAAAAGGCATGGTTAAATAAAACTTCCTTGTACCTATAAAACATGCTTTGATTGTTGTGCCACAAGCAAGAGCGTCACGGACACAAACCCCCACACAATCATTTTAAAAAAAAAGCCTCCATTACAAATGGTTTTGCACCATTGTGGAAGAGTGCATTACACAAAGTGTGGAAGGATTCAGGAATGCATTATGCACAGAGTGCAGGATTCAAGAATCTGTTACATACAGAGTGCAGGATTCAGGAATGCGTTACCTACAGAGTGCAGGATTCAAGAATGCGTTACATACAGAGTGCAGGATTCAGGAATGCGTTACCTACAGAGTGCAGGATTCAGGAATGCATTACATACAGAGTGCAGGATTCAGGAGTGCGTGTCATACAGAGTGCAGGATTCAGGAGTGTGTTTCATACAGAGTGCAGGATTCAGGAGTGTGTTTCATATAGAGTGCAGGATTCAGGAGTGTGTTTCATACAGAGTGCAGGATTCAGGAGTGTGTTTCATACAGAGTGCAGGATTCAAGAATGTGTTACGTACAGAGTGCATGATTCACAAGTGTGTTTCATACAGAGTGCAGTATTCACTAGTGTGTTTCATACAGAGTGCAGGATTCAGGAGTGTGTTTCATACAGAGTGCATGATTCAGGAGTGTGTTTCATACAGAGTGCATGATTCAGGAGTGTGTCTTATACAGAGTGCAGGATTCAGGAGTGTGTTACATACAGAGTGCAGGATTCAGGAGTGTGTTTCATACAGAGTGCAGGATTCAGGAATGCGCTACATACAGAGTGCAGGATTCAGAAGTGTGTTTCATACAGAGTGCAGGATTTAAGAATGCGTTACATACAGAGTGCAGGATTCAGGAGTGTGTTTGATACAGAGTGCAGGATTTAAGAATGCGTTACATACAGAGTGCAGGATTCAGGAATGCATTATGTACAGAGTGCAGGATTCAGGAGTACATTTCATACAGAGTGCAGGATTCAGGGATGCATTACGTACAGAGTGCAGGATTCAGGAGTACGTTTCATACAGAGTGCAGGATTCAGGGATGCATTACGTACAGAGTGCAGGATTCAGGGATGCATTACGTACAGAGTGCAGGATTCAGGAGTACGTTTCATACAGAGTGCAGGATTCAAGAATGCGTTACATACAGAGTGCAGGATTCAGGGATGCATTATGTACAGAGTGCAGGATTCAGGAGTACGTTTCAAACAGAGTGCAGGATTCAGGGATGCATTATGTACAGAGTGCAGGATTCAGGAGTACATTTCATATAGAGTGCAGAATTCAGGGATGCGTTTCATACAGAGTGCAAGGTTCAGAAGTTGGTTAAACTACGAAGACACCAATTAAACAAACACTTAAGTTCTAAAATTTTGATTAACAGCATACAGGAGCCGAGGGAAGAATGCAGGCATCAGATAGATAACAAATGAGTGCAGCCGAGCAGGACCTGCAGCAGTGTGAACATCTAGCACAGCCAGGGTTTGGCGAACAAGCCGGTGGGGGTATGGCTGCAATGAAAGAGAGTGCAGCTGTCAAGTCCAACCTTTGATATTGGGGATGAGCAGGGCTGATTTGTGTTTCAGGGGCTCTGCCCCCTTTTTAAAACCAACCCGTTCATAGGGAAACAGCCGACACTTATACAGTGCCAACTGGGAAAAAGGTAGCAAGGGGCAGGACTACCGCATGTGCACCCACAAAGGTGTATAATTCAGATTTATTATCCACCGCTGCGGGTGCCCATGCAGTAGTTCCAATTGTTCCTGCCCCCTGTCACTGTCTTCTCTGGCCACAATGTATAAATGCCAGCTGTTTGTCTATGTGGTGCTTGCTTGACAATGGGGGCGGAGCACCTGAAATGCATACAACCCCGCCCATCCCCAGGTTGGAGTAACAGCTGCACGTTCTCTCTCATTGCGGCAGCAAACCCTGATGTTTCCCCTCCAATCCCTGGCTGTGCTAAATGTTCACACTGTCCACACTACAACTGGAAGTTAACATATAAAGAATAGATAGAGTAATGCGGGACAAAGCCCCTGTACACCGGGACCGCAGGACAAAGGTGAAAATGCAGGAAAGTCCCATCCAAACCAGGACTGTTGGGAGGTATGCCCATAGCACAGGGTATATTCACATTACAGTCTTCTTTATATTAAGTATTGTATCATTATTATATATTATAGCATCACTTTTTATGGGGATTTGGTGGCTGTAGGTATCATTTAATCATTTGTGAAATAACTGAATATTTGATTTTGCCTGCATATATCCAATATGTATGATTTAAACATGATCTTTGGGGAACATAGTGAAACGAGCCTGACCAATCAACTTCCAATTTTCTAGAGAATTATCAACTGTTTCCATATAGGACTCGTCGCCAATCAAAGCGACGTTCAAGCTCAATTTCTAGCAGGATCACCTAGCATGTTTTTCTACAAATAGCACTTACACATGAAAATCACAGAGTAGATCGTGATCATTTCTGAGCACTCTGTGACTCTTTAAAAAAAGTTATGTATTTTAGGCTCGTAAATGTTAAAAAATATTATTTTTTACATTTTATATACAGTAAATCTCTTAAGCAGTATATAGTGCTAGTTTTACTTAGCAGAATAACATCTAACTAAAGCAGCCCTAATAATTGTAATCATTTATTATTATTTTATGGATGTGGAAAACTATGGCAACACAGGATATTGTTCATACTGTAAACGTGTGTCACCAAAAAATTCTACTTCTTTTTGTTGTTTTTAATATTATGCAAAATATACCCTAATGTAATACTATGACACATTTAGACAAAATTGAAACTTTTAGATTGCTGAAGCTGTAATGAGAAGGACCTTCTGATCCCTCTTTTGTTGAATTGTATTGTAACTGTACTGACACTTCCATTTTATAAAGTGCTGTGCAAACTGTTGGTGCTATATACATCTTGAGTAATA